TCCAAAATTTCTGATCGCAGCAGTCATCACATCCGTCTTCTCATATAGCTGTTCCAGTAGGGCACTTGTTTTGCAGAAAGCACGCACCAGAGCTTCTGAATACATTGTTCTGCAAGGTCAGAAGTCTATTCCCACGATCATAATCTGTTGCAGCTGCAAGCTCCCCGATTCAAAATTAGTAACAGTTTCACAGGCTCCCTCTAGGGGAAGAACTTCTATTTGTTCTTTTCTTTTAAAAGCAGATCTAACAACAAAGTTTCCTTTTTCAGATATTTTGTCAATATTTGTTCCTTTAAAATGTGAAGGGGAACAATGGAATCACTATGTTTCTCTTCTTTTAACTATCTGTCAAAATTGTTTGTCTCTGGTCAATGAGCTTCAAAGAACGTCAGTCCTGGCACCCCGCTCCCAGGATCAAGACGGTGGAAAATTACTTTGCTTTACACTCTCTTCTGCAGGTTTAAACAGTCCGAACCCCCCCCCTTCTCCTGCTTCCGAAGGGGGTTCAACAATTTTAAATGATGAAAGTTAATCCTTTACAAACGATTTTCTGAACTCCAGTTTGCCATGTCTTTGCTTTAATCTATCTATAAGAAACGGAAGGCTGACTTCCTGTTTAGACCTTCCCGTTTCAGTGCCAAATTGAGGTAAATTTCTTAGTCCAATTTTCCTTTCTACTCGCTGGTCATTATTTAAAGTCCAATTGTCCAAAATTTAAGTACTCACGGGTAATTGTTTTAAAAGCCAAATTGTCCCAGGAAAAAGGCAGCGCTCTCCGGCAAAGGCTGTGCGGCTTCGCTCCACGGAAGAAGCAGTTGACTCTCAGCACTGCGCCACTTCCCCCTCTTCGCTCCGGAGCCCGTAAGTGGGTTCCTTTATGGGTTGGGGGGGCGCTAAAGGTGCCCGCCGAGTCCCATGGTCACAGGCTTCATCCGCCTGTGATTTTTGAAAGGGTCCCCGCTTCGCCGTAGCGGGAAAGACCCGTTTTCCGTGGAGCTGGTCCCTCCGGATCAGAGGGAATCCGCCATTACCGATGGCGCCACCCCGGAAGAATCATTTCCAAGGCAAAGAAGATAACTGAAGTCAACCATCATTAATTGCACTTGTTACTTTTTTAATGCCATCTTCAGTCTTCGTCATAATTGGAAATGCACTGGAAATACCAGCCAGATACCTCTATGATGTTATCTTTTCATTTTTTAAATTAAGGAATCTATCTATTGACACCACTGTGCTGCATTTCATTCACATAAGCTTCCTTATAGCCTGATTCTATGTATACTGACTCTGTGGAGATCAATGGGACTTACTCCCAATAATGACCGTATATTGGATTCCAATCCTAAGTTTATCTGACTCTAGAGCTTCGTTAATATATATTGACAGCCACTCTGGGCATGACCCTAGAATTCCTGGATTTCATTTATTAGTGTTTGAGCTAACCCATTTCAGGCAACACTGGTCAGTGTCTGGCATAGAAGCATTGAAACTTCACTAGCTTCAGTTGGACTAAAGTATACAGAGTTGGGCAAAATATAGCATCGTTTGGGCATCACTTGGTGTTTAGGTTTCCAGCACTGGTGTGCAAATACTTTATACATGCTTTAAGGAATCAACAGTCTTCTGGTTTCATAAGTATATTTATCTCAATTTTGTTCCTGCCCTCTTCTCGCATACAAGCTACGATTGTACAAAGAGAGGAAGGACATTGTAAACAATAAATAAATAAATTAGGAACCATTTCTTGCATCTGCCACTTGCCTTGTTTTCTCCTTTAGGGCAGTGATGCAGACTGTGCCAAAAGGGAGAGACCATGGTCATAATGACAAGGAGATGAATGCACTGAGTGGCGCTATTAAATATCTTTCCAGAAAATTATTTGGACTTTAATAGTAAATAACTCATAAGCCACCTACTACAAGATGCTGATATAAGGGAGAAGAGTCGGTGGAAGAAGATTGGAAAAAGTTTAAAGACTATTTACAGAAATATTGTAAAATTAATGAATGTTAGAATGATGTTGGATAGAAACTAAGTGGTTTCTAGCTGTAATGTTATAAGGGAATATGAAAAAAAATGGACTATTAATAGGTAAAAATCTAATGTTACAATACTTTAAGATTGAAGATTAGGATAAACAAAGAGGGGAGGGATTTGCTGAACTAACAAACTGAATTGGAATACAGAAAAGGGAGGTGTGAGGAGGTCCGGGAAATAAGCAAATGAAAGATAAGTGATTGAAAGATTGAATTGTTTTTAACTATTTTTATTTTGTATTTTTCTTTTCTCTTTTTTTATTGTGTAATATTTTGAAAATCTTAATAAATATCTTTTTTTTAAAAAAAAATACAAGATGCTGATATAATCTTTGCTAGACGCAGGAAAAACCTCTCAGGTGATATACTTACAAACAGTCACAAAGTGGTTTGAGAAATAGCTTTACTGGAAAGACTGACAAGTAAGTTGAGAATGACACATGGGCAGAGCAAGAAAGACAACTTTACTCCTGTGTGGTTTGATTCTGTAAAGTGCATGACCATTTCTGTAAAGGAACTGTTTCCACCACCAGAAAATAGCATGATCTGGCTGGTATGACCATGACCATAAAAAGAAAAAGGGAAAAAGAAAGAAAGTCATAACAACATTTTACTATCTGAACATTTCAATACAACTTACCTGTCTGGAACACCATAGGTAACCTGATTTTTTTTAGTTTCAGTTTTATGTATTAATGTGCTGCAATTTTTATCCTGTTTATATTATTTGATGTTTTTTTCTTTAATCACTATATGTTTTTTCAGTAAACAAAGAGTCATGATAGCTCTACACTATCTATAGGAACAGAGGCAGCATGACTCCTGGGGAATATGATCAGAGCATGCTGTTGCACTCATAGAAAGGCTTGAGGCCTTTCCAGAGGCATCTGGTCAGCCGCTGTGGGAAACTGGATGCTGTATTAGATAAACCTTTGGTTTGATCCAGCAGGGTTCTTCTTACACTCTTACGATTTCCATTACCTTCTTAAGCTTTAGCACTACCTTTCTACATCTTCTTATGATTCTGAGCAGCATCCCCTAAAATCTTTTCTCATGCCTGGGGCCAACTGCCAACATGTCTCGCAAACAAACCATCAAGTGTCCTAATAGCTTTCAAAAACACAGTTATCCATGTTTCTAAGCATTGAATTAATCTCCTCTCCCCTTCCTTATTACAGAGTATCTCTTCCATACTGGTTCTACAAAGTTTCATCGTAATGACTTCTTTCCTCTGAGTCACTCAGTGTAAGGATTTTTTTAAAAAAGTCATATGGCCAAGGGTATTTTGTGAAATCTCCCTCCTCCTGTCTTCTTAAAGTATAATTCAGAATTATTTGCACTTAAATGATCAACAGTGAAGCTTTTGAACTTTCATAATTTTCTAGTTATATGTTATGCCTGAATAAAAACCAGATTCATTTCCCCCTTCATATCAGTTGATGGATCTTGGATAGGGTCGCCCATGTTGCTTATGGATATAAAGTACTAAACGGGAGGCATGGAAACAAGAATTGTGGATTTTCTGAATCACTCATTTGTGAAATCAACCATGTGGATCTGAGTGAAGGATTTGGCCTCGAGTGCAGAGACATTTCAAAGGCAGAATTCTCAACATGCTACATGTTAATGAATTATGAATCTTTGTTTTCAAACAACTGAAGAAACATCTTCCTTTCCACAAGGAACTCATTATACTTTGTGCACAAGTTACACATGGAATTAAACCTAAGTGGTACTTTGTGGCAGAAAAAAGAGTCTGTTTCTAATATGGATCATGTTAAGTCATTTCACGTGCATGAAGTAGCTCAAAAAGCAACTGATAAATACGCTATAAGATCAGCCGGAGCTCCCAGTCTGCGATGAGGTTCATGTTTTTGAACATCAATCAGGTTAAAAGCTGCTTTCTAAACATCCTCTATGCATTTTAATTAAATATTTCTCTGTGACATATAACACAAAACATCACAGAGCCTAATGAGCCTATTGTTTTGTTCAAAAGAAGCTTCCATTTTCTCTCCAACATGCATGTTTACACTGCTTGCCCTTCAGCTACACTCCAGTCAATCCTCAGCAAAGATGTTTTTGAATGATTAATGATTTTCATGCAACAGGAACGTAAAAGCAAAGCACTCTTTTCTCCCAGTTGCATCCATCACAGGTTTGGCTGAAATCAACAAGGAAGCAGCTGCTATTGTAAATGTGCTAATACGGGTGCTTACTCACTTCTCCCCATCTAAATTGCTCCATGGGTTTGGGAGTTCTGAAAAAACTAATCTTGCTTTGGAAGTGGAACCAAAAGTATCTGAAATCATTCTGTGCTATCATTTCCAAATTTTGTACAGTGCATGCATGGCTGGCCACAGCTTTCCTTTCCTTTGGATCATGCACATCTCCCTCCCTCATATTAACAATTATTACGTGCACATTGAAAAATAATGTCCCCCTCCAAAAAAAATAGGCAATCAATGTTGTTTTACTATTGCATATTTTTTACAAAATCAAGATTATTTGTCTGTGGTGTTTTGCCAGTGTGCATCGCGTCAACATTGCACAAAAATTACTTTGCTGAAATCGTACACAAATTCACACCCATACTGCATTTTTGCAGTGTTGCATCAATGTACATGTGGCCATCAAAATCAAAGGTGTGTGGCATGTAAATGTGCTGCAGGACTGAAGGTTGCACCATGCTCCAATTTAAGATTATTATTTTTTAGAAAATCTCTTCGTTAAACTGAAATGCATGGGGAGGGGAATGTAGAGTTAAATGTATAGTTCAGATGTGGCCTTAGTGTCTAGATTGTATCCCTTTCCCTGTTCCCTGTCCTCGGAAGGGATAAAAGAGCATGCTATTTATTTTGTGTATGCATTTCTTTGTTCTTTAAAAATGTCAAAGCAGTGTCTGTCTGCACTCAGAATTCCAGAGCACAGGGACAGCTGGTGTTCTGCAAAGTGTGGACAGCACTAGGGACAGGATGGCAACGTCAGGAGTAAGGTGAGTTTTCTCTTCCCTCTTGCAGCTATTTCCACATAGTTCTGAACTCCTGAACTCCACATGGTTCTGGGCTCAAGACCATCTGTAAAGAAATAGTAGGAGGGAGGTTTATGTTTGTGCAGTGCAAAAATTATTTAATCAGGTAATGCATCAAATAGATATAACCTTTTCTGTTTTGTGTGGAATATCTGTTAGTTCTCAGCCCAGAGCCTAAAATGAGCACATAGGTACCTGGAAATTAAAAGCCATATGGATTTAAATTACGGCTAGAATCCTATACCCACTTACCTTTGGTGAAACCAGTTGGACTTATGTCTGAGTAGTCATGTACAGTATAGGATTACACTGGAAGTCACATTAAGCAGATCAGATTTATATATAGGTTTTTGCTGATTCATATTGACTTCTGATGCCCCCTGGTGTACAGATTCTCAGAAATTTAATTTGGTCCTCATTTTTAAGCAAACTGACCTGGTTCGTATTTCCTAGACTAATGCATGGGTCAAAACACTGCCACCCTTCACTTTTCACACTTGTCAAAATTTTATGATGGAGTTCTCAGATAAAAAAATGTACCAAAAGGACACATTTTAGATTCAAATCCATATAAAATGTACAAAAATGTGATATGTTTTTTAAAAGCTGTTTTGCATGTGTCTAGACAAAAATAATAGATCGCTACAGGAAAAAAGACATAATTGACTTATGAATGAGTACATGTGAAACTGACCAGAAATAAATGGATCCATTCACTGTCTTATACCACCTCACCATAAAATTTTGGGTCTGAATTAGGAAAATCTGCTCATCCTTACTTGGCCTTCGAAATCAAGGGAACAGATGGAAAAGTATAAATGAAATATGAGGTTTCTCACCATTTGTTTAGAACATCCTGCATCAATTAACAACTTCTCACATTTGAATATGTCCAGACCAATCCATTTTTGTGAGACTTGTACATGGAATGATTACAACTGGCTTACACAGCCTATGTCTAAATTAGCACTCTGCTTTGAGATTATGTTGTATTTGTTGTACACACTTAGATTAAGTCTCGTTGAACTTGATTCAGGCTTAGTTATGAGTAGACATGTACGGGATTGCACTATGAGAGGTACTAAACCAGGAGTCAGCAAACTTTTTCAGCAGGGGGCCGCTCCACTGTCCCTCAGACCTTGTGGGGGGCCAGACTATATTTTGAAGAAGAAAAATGAATGAATTCCTATGCCCCACAAATAACCCAGAGATGCATTTTAAATAAAAGGACACATTCTACTCATGTAAAAACACGCTGATTCCCGGACCATTCACAGGCTGGATTTAGAAGGTGATTGGGCCGGATTTGGCCCCCGGGCTTTAGTTTGTCTACCCATGTACTAAACTTTCTGGGATAACTTTGCTTTAGATCAGTAACTGCTGATTATGTTCACAGCTCCAAAGTGAATAAGAAGAGTATGCTTTTAATCAAACTCAAGAAAGGAAAGGTGGATGAATGCAACATGACATAGAAAGGAATACACTAAACACGTGAATGTGGGTGGATGAATCTGTTAATTTTGGCTTCTTTCAGGTTCTCATTTTTCCTGTCTTAAGTTCAGTTCCCCAAACTTCCACATCAGTATTATTTAACAAGTTTTCATGAAAATTCATCAGCCTTCACCTAGGAGACCACTGTAAGCATATAGAAACAAGAAAAGATTTTGATTCACTTGCAGTGTAAAAATCATTATGGACAATATGGTTTGATATAAAAATTGGAGTTCTGATGAGTATGCACTTGTAGATGTTTAAAATGAGACCCCACAGAGAGGATGGGGAGAAGTCTCGAGATTCAGAAAATCTCTTTACAGTGATACCTCGGGTTAAGTACTTAATTCATTCCAGAGGTCCGTTCTTAACCTGAAACTGTTCTTAACCTGAAACACCACTTTAGCTAATGGGGCCTCCTGCTGCTGCCGCGCCGCCGGAGCACAATTTCTGTTCTCATCCTGAAGCAAAGTTCTTAACCTTAAGCACTATTTCTGGGTTAGCGGAGTCTGTAACCTGAAGCGTATGTAACCCGAGGCACCACTGTATACAGATATGTTTTTACAAGTTTGCTTTTAAGTGTGCTTTGTATTTGTAAAACCAATAAAAATGATTTTAAAAAAAAAACACATCAGCATTTCAGCACTAATTTATTCTAATGGACACATGTTTGTATGAAGGTTTCCCCAAATATACCCTAATATAATGCATTTTTGTATGTTATTTTCACTAATTTATGCATTTGTGTGCAAGTCATATACACATGACTTGGCTGAAGGACCGCACCACAAATTGAGAGAAGCACATGTTGATGAGTGCATTTTAGTTCTCCTATTGTTTCAGAAAGTCCATATTTGGTAGGTTCACTTATAAACATGAACTGAATTTCTACCCCATCCCAATATCATAGAATCATAGAAGTGTAGAGTTGGAAGGGACCCCGAGGGTCATCTTGTCCAACCCCCTGCAATGCAGAGCTATATGGGGCAATTCTTCAACCCAAACAGCAACATGCAACTAAGGAGCTCTGGCCTGTGTCATTGCAGCCCATATTGCATGAGATTTCCAGCCAAGAGTACCGGAGGGTGAAAGTCCATTCACTTGAATGTGTTTACCAATAAAATTCTGCAAGCCCAATGGAACAAATGATTCCATTTTTTTAAAAAATTAGATAATATAGTAATGAGAAGGTAGCATGGAACATTTATCTTTGTATGGCTACAAAACAAGTATTGTGGAGATGGAAAGACATCCATTCTGGAAAACGTTCAGAAGTAGGAAGAAGGAATGCTGAAACACTGAATATTTATAGATTTACAACACATGAGATCATTTTTGAACATTCAATAGAAATATCAATTTAATAAGCCCTCTTTTTCAGGTTTGTGGCTCCCCTTAAAGAGGGAACAGCTGATGAATAGTAATTATGATAGAATCATGCTCTTTTGCCAACAGACTAGTAAAATGCAGATTTTTAAAACAGAGATAACAAAACTTCTGCCAGTTGTTAATTTCTGCCATGCTTATAATTAACTTGAAGGGATTATTCTATTACATAATGTATCTATAATTTACAGTTAAATAGTGCAGATCATTTAATGAATTTTAAGAATAAAACTACATTTAAACAGCTAAGATTTTGTGACAAGGATCTCTTCTGGAATCAAATAACTGTAATTATGAGTCGATATTCTGCTCTTACTTTAGAAAACATTTATAAACTAAGCTAATTAAAATTCTTAGTAATAAAGTAAAACTTATTATTACACGTTTAAATAGCAGAACTGTAGTCATGCCAAGCTGAAGTGCTTAAAAAAAAAATCCAGAGTGAGCTTAAGAGCAGAAAATAGTCTACAAACAATTGTGAGTGAAACTAGGGCAGCCTTCCCCAAGCTGCTGCCCGCAGTTGTTTTTGACTAAAGCTCCCATCACTCACAGCTTGCATAAACAGGGAATTCTAGCTCAGATTATTGAGGGTGCCAGTTGTGGAAAGATGAGTTAGGAACCTACATAGGGAAGTGAGAAGACACCATTTTTCATTCCAATATGTATTTGTCAATATCAGCACTGTCCATTCCACTACAATTTCCACAAATGTCTGCTTAAAAAGCTCCAAGGAAGGTGAGTTCACCACCTTCTGATGAGGTCAGTTCCGCTCTCAAATAGCTCTTGCCATCAAAAGTTCTTCCTGATGTTTAGTCAGAATCTCCTATCTTGTAACTTGAAGCCATCAGTTTGGGTCCTGCCCTCTGGAGTAGGAGAAAACAAGTTTGCTCCAGCTTCCATGTGGCAGCCCTTAAGATATTTGAAGATGGCAAGCACATCTCTAAATTTCATCTTAACTAAACATACCCAACTCCCTCAACCATTCCTCGCAAGGCTTGCTTTCCACTTCCTCAATCATCTTGATTGTCCTTCTCTGCACACCTTCTAGGCTTGCCAATATTCTTCTTAAACTGTGGTGCTCTCACCAGGGCAGAATAGAGCAGTACGTATTATTACTTCCCACTATACTTCTGTCGATGCAGCCTGGAACAACATTAACTTTTTTTTTTTTTTTTTTTTTTGCTGCTGCATCACACTGTAGACACGTGTGAAGCCTGTGGTCTGCCCTAGATCCTGTTCACATGTATTGCTGGCAATGCAGTTTTCTCCCATCTCATATTTGTGCAGGTGGTTATTCCTGTCTAAGTGTAGAATCTGACATTTGCCCCTTTTGAAATTCATTTTGTTAGTTTTGGCCCAGTTGTCCAATCTGTTAGGTTAGTCTTGAATCCTGATTCCATCTTCTGAGGTACTAACAACTCCTCCTGGTTTGATGTCATTTGCAAATTTGATCTCCTTACTTCCTTCATCCCAGTTGTTTATAAAGATGTTGAGCAACAATGAGCCTAGGACAGAACTCTGCAGCAGGCAGAGGTTTTTTTTCCCCCAGGCTGACAAGGAAGAAATGGTGAGCACCTGTTGGGTTTGGTCATCTCTCTACCCAAACCCTCTGTCAGAGGGACAGAGGATGACTACCAAAGGTAGAACCCTTTCCAAGGTGATCCTGCAATGTGGATCTAGCTGTGTAAAGCATTTTAAGCATCCCCTCTACTAAAACATTTTGGGTTTGTGAAAACTTCAAGAGGCTTGCTAATGGCTCAATTTGAGATGAGAAAATGCTCTGTTTATTGGCTTATTTAATGCAATTGCTGATTCTAATCTTGTGCTAGGGAAAGCAATCCTAACCATTGGCTGGGAGCAGAGGTTTTGGCTTAGCATATCACCTGAACTGAGCCCATGAGTTAGAGAACACACTTCGAGGTCTAGGTTCAAATACTGCTGTATAGCCCTTGGCTACCTTGATTATTACAGCCAATATATTGTTTGTCTCACAAGCAATTTGATTAAGCATTTTGATTTATTCTCGATTTTCTCTCTAAGGGTTAATAGTATAATAAATGCCTATTCCATCATTTTGCATTACTTTAGTATGATCTTAATAAGCATCCAACCTGCTGTAAAAAAATAATTTAAATTAGTCTATTTTGTTCCAGATTCTTTTAATATGAGACACCACAATAATAAAAGAGAATTTTGGACTAGCAATAGGCATACTGTGCTGGCATAATGGTGCTTAAGCCCTTGGATTGCTTTACTGACATCTTTCTTCATTCTAATATATTCTATATTAAGACTTTGACATTTATATGTGAGTTTTCTTTATCAGCAACATATTATTTAAAAAATAATTTGTATGGCTAATCTGAAAGACAGATATATTAGACCTGGAGAATGGCTAATTTTCAGTAAGTAACTTTAAACTATGTACAGCTTGTCATATGATTCAGGTCTTTCACGGGCTAGTAAAACAATAAAGAATTTATTGATCACTGCTTGATTAATCTTATAAACACTATGGAACTTTGAAGTTCCACAGTGAAATACTGAAGCATGGTAAGTATATCAAGAATTTGTTATATTAGTCTTAAAAAAAAACCCAGACGGCCCAAAATGAATTTTAAATGAATTAAACTCTCTTTTAAAACTTACCAGCTCAACTGTTGCTTTCACTCTCACAAAACTCTTTGAAAATGACTAAAGTTTATCATATGCCTTAGGCATTCATACTTACTTAGGAGTAAGTTTGGCTGAGCCAAGTGGGACTTATTTTCATGTAGACATGCATTGGATCAGACTGTATGTCAATCTTTTTTTCATTGCCTTTCCTTTCATATGCACAGCAAATATTTAAAACAGTACCATATTGCAAACATGTAACAATGGGGCATATATCACAGGGAATAGTATTGTTTCTATTGTCTTAATAATGTCTTAGAGGACCTTGTATCTTGCTGGAATCCTCATCTACTGCATCATCTTGATAAATGATAGGACCAACTTTATTGCTAAGAAGTTTGCTAGAAATAACCAAATTTTCTCTGATAATCTGAAATGAAGATGGTGAATGGTAGGGGTGTGTATCTGTTTTGTATGTAGCCCATAATCTGGGGAGATATGAATAAGGTTTTCCCATTTCATTAATGAGGCATTTGAGGTAAGATCAGGGGTCCCCTAAGCTTCCAAATAACTTTTTGGCTTTTGCTCCCAAAATAAAAACACTTGGCCAGTCTCCTGCTCCCCCACTGATTCTGCATTCACATGCCATTTCCTCAGTGTTCCCATAACCGTTACTTGCCACATTATTTTTTTGAGCTTTCACGCAACATAAAAGCCACTTCCGGAAGTATTATGGAATATGGTGCAAGCTGAGCGCCCACTTTTGTGTTATTTGCAAATGAACAGTTTTTCAGACAGATGCAGACTCAGCAGTCCTCCTGGCCATCTTCTGACTTGCCTGGATTTAGTTTCAATTTGTTGGCCCACATGCAGTCTAGGCACTGCTGCTGAATTCCTCCAGCTTCCCCGATGTGAATGGGAAGACAAGATAGACATGAGTGACATTTGAATACTGATGCCACCAAATCTCCAACTCTCTAGAGTATCTCCCCCAGCAATTCAACTGCATGCTAATGCTGTAGGGAACCAGCCAAGGTGTCTAACAGAACCATCCCAGGTGAACTTTCTGGAATCTATCCTGAAATCAAGACAGCAAGTCACTGTTCCACATATATGAAAACCAATGTGCCACAGTAGTTAAAGTGTTTGGCTAGGACACAGGAGATTAGGGTTCAAATACCCACACATTGCTACTCACTCTGTGTACTTGAGCCAATCACTATCTCTCAACCTAACTGATTTAACAGGACTCTTGTAAGGATAAAATGAGGAGGAATACAACCATGTACACTAACTTGAGCTCCTTGGAGGAAAGGTGGAATATGAATGTAATGATGATATAATAATAATGTAACCTAATCATATACCCAATCATAAAACTTTCTGTCATGAGGTAGAATTATGATAATTCTTCATAGTCCTGTCACTAAGTATAAAATCTTTCCTATTGATTTCCCCCCTTTCTCCATTCTCTAAGACTGTGAATGGCTGTCTACCTTTTACAAGAAATCTCTCACCCTGAACTTTAAAGTTACTACTTTCACTGGATTAATGTTAGTCAAAGGGGTTTTTCTTCTGATAAAGGTGTCACCCTTGGTTCAAAAGGTTACCTTTGTTACCTCAGCAAAATGTGTTTTATGTAAATCAACACCTATGCTTTTCCTAAAATGGCTTTATAAATACCTGGAAAATATTTGTTTTAATAAAATTGTTTTTTTAGTTCATAAAAATCCCACAAAAACTTATCCAAATAATTGTGTGAAGTGTCTTTTTAAATTACCTTCAGTAAAGCTGAACATTTGCAGAATATGTCATATCAAATGCTGCTCCAGCCTGCTGGATTAGCATTGCACCGGGTAGCTCATAAAATGGCCTGAGTTTCCCACTCCCCGTTCAGTCAACAACCCTTTTAAAATATTGCTCTTTTTCAAAATGTTATTACTGATTATGTACCCTAGTTTTAAAACATCATGCAGATTTGTTTTGCAAGCATTAAAGCACTTACGTCTCCTCAGAAACCGATGAGCTCCATTTCTCTCAAAGCTATCAAGAATTTCCAGCGTCTGGGTGGGTGGGGAACCACTTCCATCGGTAAAGTCTTAATCTTTCACTTAATGAAACCAGTGGAATAGGTGCCAAAACATAATGGCATGCTGTATGTGCTGAATCCATTAAAGAGTTGCTTCAGTGCCAGTTTGCAAGGTGGGAAAACCATTTTTTAAAAAGAAGTAAAAAAGAAATTAAAATGGGCTTTTTATTCCTTAGGAAGAATATTACTCTATGTGTTAAGCTAGGGAAATTGGAGGAAATCAGGATTTAGAAGACCCTGTATGAAAGTAGGACTGGGTGGAATGCATGCCCAGTACCAGAATTCAGGGGGCCCTTAGCACAGTGCCAACAATGGTCTCTCACCTCAGTATAAATAGACACAACCTCAATGTGGGCACACAGTGTTGTTGTTTTTTATTGTACTGCTGCCATGGAGGCAGCAGTGACACTGCTTATTGTCTCCCTGCTGGACCCCTAGACAGCATATTTTTTGTTGTTGAGTGTTGGTGGTGCTTTAGAATGGGAGCCAGAACTACAGATTCCATAGATCTGTAGCCCGCAGCATAGCATTTTGGATAAATTAAGATGGCAGGTGGTTATCATGGACTGGTTGGATGCAGAGAAGTGGTGGGAAGCACTGGCTGGGGAATGCCAGGGAAAGAAGGCTCAGAGCCAGGGGATTGGTGGTGGGATGACAATGATTGGGCAGAGGGTGAAGAGAAAGCAGGCTGGGAGGATGAGGTGTTGGAAGCTGAAGAGGCAACTGGGTTTAGTGAGCAGGAAGAAGCTGTGGCAGAAAGCAGTTCAGACTCTGAGGCTGAAGTGGAAGATGGAGAAGAGCGAGGCCAGGAGACAGAGAGACAGGCCTTTGAAGAAGCCAGGGAGTTTTCCCCTCCTTAGTGGTCTCCTAAAACACAAAGAAAAATGAAAACAGAAGAGCATATATTGTTTGTGTGCAAACACAGTTTGCAACTGCTTGGGAAAGACCCTGGAGAGGAGGAGCCCTAAAGAGTGGTGGGAAGGCGAGGACCTTTGGTCCTTGCAACTGCCTCATTGGAACAAGATCTACTGCAAAGAGTTGCTGGGATCACTAGGCCTGCATTGTTTCTTTGAATAAGGAGCTAACTACATTGACACCATGTTATTTATTGCTGATCTACACCTGACTCTGGCTCCTGCCAGTGGTCGACGCAGGTAGGAGCTGAGTGTCGATCCAATCAAAAGCGTCACAGCCCCTTACACACCACTAAAGCAGCCATCTCAGTACCTGGTGCAAAGGGAAATGAATGGCTGGACAGCTGGGTCAGGCTGGTGAGACCCAGGAGCCTTTGGCCAGTGCCTGATTTGGCTGACTGCTTAAACCGGGCCTAACTGAATATTTTAGCTCAGGAAAATTCTGGAAGTTCCTGGGACTTTCGGGTGGGGGTGGCTGGTAGCATTTTCTTTCTCTCCCAGAGCTGTATGTGTGATTGTTACATCACATGTCTGTGTTTACATTCCATGCTTGGAAAGTGTGGGAAACGGAAGCCAGTCCTATCTTTTCCGTTGTATTGTACTTTTGTACTTTCTCTCTCTCTCTCTCTCGGAGAAGATGTGAGAGGACGCCATGATTGCTTTGTCCTGTGTATATTGCTTAATAAAATAACTTAGATTCCACACTTCATAGCCTCAGCTTCCAGCTTTACTCTGCTGTTTGAGTATAATAATAATAATAATAATAATAATAATAATAATAATAATAATAATTTATTTATACCCCGCCCATCTGGCTGGGCTTCCCCAGCCACTCTGGGTGGCTTCCAAAAGAATATTAAAATACTGTAATACATTAAACATTAAAAGCTTCCCTAAACAGGGCTGCCTTCAGATGTCTTCTAAAAGTCTGGTAGTTGTTGTTCTCTTTCACATCTGGTGGGAGAGCGTTCCACAGGGAGGGCGCCACTACCGAGAAGGCCCTCTGCCTGGTTCCCTGTAGCTTTGCTTCTCACCATGAGGGAACCGCCAGAAGGCCCTTGGTGCTGGACCTCAGTGTCTGGGTAGAACGATGGGGGTGGAGACGCTCCTTCAGATATACTGGAGTATGCACATATCTTCATATATGTGTCGCTGCTGCACAATAGGACTGAAGAGTTATGACCGTCCCGTGCTGCACTCCAGAGGAAGACGCCTGTAGAGGTTTATCTTGATCTGGGGGCTGTGTGCAGTGCCCCCCGGCTCTTCTGACAGTGGCATCCTTCCTTTTTTTTTTTTTAAAGCAATTTATTGGGTTTTACAATAAGAATAAACATAATAAACAATATAACATTTGTCTTAACATAGTTTCACATTTTGTTTGGACTTCCTCACATCCCCCGCTCCCACTTTCATCGTTATAACATTTTGTCAGCAATTTATCATCTTATTTAAATTCTTATATCTCTTCAATGTTTCATAATCTTATAGTTCTCATAGAGAGTTAAACTTTCACAATCTTACTTATTTTCTTAAAAACTTCTAAGTTAAGTGGTGCTCAGTTATTTAGTCTAGCATCTTATTTAGCATTCATTCAAATCACAATATTTTTGTAGATAATTCTTAAATTTCTTCCAATCCTCCTCGATTCTCTCTTCTCCCAGGTCACGGATTCTGCCGGTCATTTCAGCCAGTTCCATGTAGTCTATCAGTTGCATCTGCCATTCTTCCAGTGTGGGTAAATCTTGAGTTTTCCAATGTTTTGCAAGAAGTATCCTTGCTGCTGTTGTTGCATACATAAAAATGTCTGGTCCTTCTTTGCCACCCCTTGGCTGACAATACCCAGAAGGAAAGCCTCTGGTTTCTTGGTAAAGGTATATTTAAATACCTTTTTCAATTCATTATAAATCATTTCCCAGAACGCCTTCACTTTAGGGCAGGTCCACCAGAGGTGGAAGAACGTTCCCTCACACTCTTTACATTTCCAACACTTATTATCAGACAGGTGGTAAATTTTTGCAAGTTTAACTGGGGTCATATACCATCTATAAATCATTTTCATTACATTTTCTTTCAGAGCGTTACATGCAGTAAATTTCAGTCCATTACTCCACAACTTTTCCCAGTCCTCAAACATAATATTATACCCAATGTCCTGTGCCCACCTTATCATAGCCGATTTAACCATTTCATCTTGTGTATTCCATTCCAACAGCAAGTTATACATCCTTGAAAGTACCTTAGTCTTTGGTTCTAACAATTCTGTTTCTAATTTCGATTTCTCCACCTGGAACCCTAGTTTCTTATCATTTTTAAAAACTTCTTTAATCTGAGCGTAATGTAACCAATCTCGCACTTTGTCTTTCATTTTCTCCAAACTCTGCAATTTCCAATTGTCTCCATCTTTTTCTAGTATTTCCCAATATTTTGGCCATTTAGCCTCCATATTGGTGTTTTATTTTCCAGCAAGTCTTTATATTTTGTCCAGACATTAAACAATGATTTTCTGACAATATGGTTCTTGAAGGCCTTATTTGCTTTAACTTTGTCATACCATAAATATGCATGCCATCCAAAAACATTATTAAACCCTTCCAAATCCAACACATCAGTGTCTTCAAGAAGTAGCCAGTCTTTTAGCCAGCAGAACGCTGCGGCTTCATAATACAACTTTAAGTCCGGCAGGGCAAAGCCCCTCTTTGTTTTGCATCAGTTAATATCTTAAACTTAATTCTGGGCTTTTGCCCTGCCAGACAAACTTCGAAATATCTCTCTGCCACTTCTGAAAGCACTCCATTTTGTCCAAAACCTGAAGTGTTTGAAATAAAAACAACATCCTTGGCAATACATTCATCTTAATAGCAGCAATTCGGCCTAACAAAGAAAGTTTCAATTTTGACCAACTGTCTAAGTCTCTCTTAATTTCTGTCCAACATTTTTCATAGTTATCCTTAAATAGACTTAGATTTTTTGCTGTTATGTTTACCCCTAGGTATTTTACCTTTTTAACCACATTAAGTTCCATCTCATTCTGAAACCGTTCTGACTCTGTATCAGTCAAGTTTTTCCCCAAAACCTTAGTTTTCTGTTTATTTAATTTAAATCCCGCCACCCGACCAAAATCATTAATCAATTGTAATACTCTTTTCGTACTGGGCTCTGGCTTCTGCAAGGTCAAAACCAGGTCATCTGCAAAAGCTTTTAGTTTATATTGTTTCTGACCAACCTGAATTCCTTCCACCAACCGATCCCCTCTAATCATGTTCAGTAGCACTTCCAGAACCGAAATAACTAACAAAGGGAGATAGGGCAACCTTGTCGTGTCCCTTTTTCAATTTTGAACTCTTCTGTGACCACATTATTAACTATCAGTTTAGCTTTCTGTTCTGAATATATCGCCTCAATCCCATTCTCAAAACCCCGTCCCACTCCCATCTCTTTTAAATTTCCCATCATAAATTTCCAGGAAATATTGTCAAAGGCCTTCTCCGCATCTATGAAAATTAAAACTGCTTTTGTATTTATATCTGTTTGCAGAAGTTCCAAGATGTCAATAATGTTCCTTGTGTTAGCAAACAGATGTCTACCTGGGAGAAAACCGGCCTGGTCCTTATGAATTACTTCATTTAATACTTTTTTAAATCTACTTGCCAAAATATCTGCAAATATTTTGTAATCCACATTTAAAAGAGAGATGGGACGGTAGTTCTTCAGTTGTGTCTTTTCAGCTTCTGACTTTGGTATTAATGTGATAAACGCTTCCTTCCACGAATCCGGTGCCCTCTTCCCCTCAATAATTTCATTGCTGACCTCCATCAAGGGTTGTATCAAATAGTCTTTTAATGTCTTATAATACTTGGAGGTCAGCCCATCTGGCCCTGGAGATTTGCCAAGTTGCATGTTCTGAATAGCTTGTTCAATCTCCTGTCGTGTTATTTTAGAGTTCAGGATTGTCCTGTTTTCTTGTGACAATTTAGATAATCCATTTTTGCCAAAAATTGTTTAATCTCAACTTCGTCTTGCGGCCCTTGGGTGTATAATTTTTTAAAATATCTCTGGAAACACTTTCTAATATCCACTGGATTCTGAATGTTTTTTCCATCAACCTCTAAGTTTGTAACCGTGTTTAATCTTTGTCTTCTCTTCAACTGCCAAGCTAGCAGTTTTCCACATTTATTCGCCAACTCAAACGTTTTTGTTTCATTAATTTAACCTTCCATTCAATTTCCTGATTTATCAATTTAGAATATTGTGTTTGATAGAGTTTAATTTCTCTCAGAGTTGGCTGTGACTTTGGGTTCGCTCTTAATTTCTTCTCTAATTCTTTTAATTTGTCCAAGATCTTATCTTTTTTCTCATTTTGTGTTCTTTTCTTTACTACATTCTGTTGTATCAAGAATCCCCTCATTACAGCTTTGCTTGCGTCCCAGACAATTCTTTTTCCACCGAATTGTTCATGTTTATCTCAAAATAGTCCTTCAAAACTTTTTGGGCCTTCTTGGTAATTTCCTGATCTCTAAACAAATTGTCATTCATCTTCCATCTAAAGGATCCAGTTGGTAGTAGTGTCATATCCATCTTTACTGCATTATGGTCAGAGCAGGTCTTTGGGCAGATTTCCACTTTTCTGACCTTAGGTGCCAGGCCTCTGGAAATCCATATTTGGTCGATTCTTGTCCAGGTCAGTTGGGCTTCAGAAAAGAATGTTCCTTCTCTACCTAGTGGGTTCTTTGTCCTCCAAATGTCAATCAAATCCATATTGTCAGTCATTTCAAAAAAGTTTTAGGTAGTCTGCCGTCTTTTGTAACATTTTGACTTTGTGACTTGTCCATGTTAGTTGACACGACCCCGTTCATGTCTCCCATCATTATGATGTTGTTGTAATCCAGATATTCCAGCATTGTCCCCTGCAGCTTCTTGTAAAATTCCGATTTCCCTTCATTAGGTGCATAGATTCCTAATATCAACAGTTTCTCTCCTTGATATTGTATCTCAATGGCCAAAATTCTTCCATGTTCATCTTTAAATAAGAATTTAGGTGACAGGCTCTCTTTTGCATATATCACCACGCCTCTCTTCTTAACTTTGTCCGACTGAAACAAATTCCTGGCCCAATCTTTTATTTATTAACACTTTTCTGTGGAGCCTCGTCACATGTGTTTCTTGTAAACAGATAATGTCCAATTGTTCTTTTTAATATATGAAATATTTTCTTCCTTTTTCCGGAATGTTACAACCATTAATGTTCCAACTCAGCAATTGCAGAGACATCCTGGATCTATCTGGTTATTTCTCCAGGGGTGGTGTCTTCTCTGAATCTTCAGGTTCCCCAGGTGCTGGTGTTAATGCTGGCTTTGCCCCAGGCCCAGAAGGTAATTCAATTCCTTTTTGAAGGTCCTCTCCGTATGTAGCCAAAAATTTGTCTCTCTCTTCCAATGTTCTAACTTTGACCTTTCTCCCTTTAAAGGTAAAAGATATTCCTTGGGAAATTCCCACCTGAATGGAATTGCGTTGCTCCTTAGTAGTTTAGCAAGTTCAGAATAGGCGGCTCTAAGATCCAGCAGTTGTCTTGGAATATCTTTATAAATTTCAATTCTTCTGTCCAAAACCTCCAGTGACTTTCCGTAATGTAGGCCCAAAATCTTATCCCTTTCCTCCTTTGATCTCAGTGTAATCAAACAGTCTCTGGGCCTCTCCTTCTTTGTGAATCTTCCAAGTCTGAAAGCCGACACAATTTTAAAATCCTTTTCTTCCAAATTCCAGAACTTGGAAAATTCTTTGGTCAAAAACTCAGTTAAATTTCCTTCTTCTGCCTCTTGTAATGATCTAATCCTCAAATTATTCTCACGATTTCGCAGTTCTATCATGGAAAGATAAGTCTGGTGTTCCCCAACTTGTTTGGTGAGTGGTCTTACCTCTTGCTCTAAATTTTCCAATTTTTGTCTAGTATCCTCAGCCGATTTCCGATTTTCTGCTGAGGCCTCCGTTAACTGTCCAATTGCTTGTGTATTCTGTACAACTTGTATGGTTAATTTATTTAGACATTCTGTATTTTTGTCAATCTTTGCTGATTGCGCATCTACTTTCTTGTCCAAAGCTTCCAATTTTTCAAAGATTTTGTCTAGAACAGAAACAGATACTCCTGAGGCCATATCTTCCAATTGTAACTGCTCTGCTTCACCCTCTCCCTCTTTTGCCTGTGGCAAGGCAACTTCTTCAAGTTCTACTTCTGAGGGCAAAGTAGGTACAGATGATCTACGTGTCTGCGAGGCTGAGGTTAGAGTTGTTAAAGTTGTTTGTCTAACTCTCCCTCTTTTCCTTGTGCCACTCATTCCAACGTTGTCTATCAGTCAAGGTCACACTGAGTTTTTCCCATGGGAATAGAAAGGCCCAGAGCAAGCAAACAACAAGGGAATCGAAAGTAAATGTAAATGTAAAGTCACTGACAGTGGCATCCTTCCTAAAGATTTTGAGCTGGAGGTGCATGTTTCATAAAGTAGAGCTTTTTGTGGAAAAAGTAGAGCTTTTTGTGGTGGGAGGATTATAATTACAAGAGAGCCAAAGGCTTCCCACCATTTGCCTTCTTTTTTGAACATTTATTAAAGGTACAAACTACTCCAAGGGGCTAGACACCACATACTTTCAAAACAGGGCTGGAAATGATGCCGCCCACAGATGTGGCTGTCTCTCCAATTCCCACCCGCTACCATTGTTGGGCAAGAAAGAACAGTCTATCAAGTTGGTGGTGCAGGCCTTTGCATAGCCCATAGTTTTGTTCGCCACTTTGATATTCTCTTTTATGATTAAGAAGTATACTAATGTGTGCAAAACAATTTTTTGTACCAAGACAAGCCCTACTCACCCATCCCCATAGATTTGATGACTAGATCCCAAGCTAGCATAAGTTTCCTGTCCACGTGTAGATCAAAGGAGCTGCACATTAAATTCCCTTGAAATCTCAATGAATATGTGGTAAGACATTGGTGTTGACAAGCCTATAACCATTATTATGTCAGCCGGGCTAACTTGATTTAAATACGATCACCTTAGTGTCACATCAATACACAATACTTCACAAAAATTGTGGTCTGGATGGTTTTTGAAGTTCTGGCAATCTTTAGGTGGAGGTTTTCTTCAGGAAATCTCCAGTAAATCCCTCTTGTTTCCACAAAATAATCTGAATCCTGGTTCTACTGTGCTGATCTTAATATAATTAACATTTATTGTACACTTAAGCTTTTCTTCAAAGAGAAAATAATTCAATTACAGCCAAGGAACTGTACCATACAATTAATCATTTCCTTCTCCTCTGAAGTTGCATTTGTTCTCTCCATTGCTACCGTTGCTTCTAAATTACAAAAATGATGTGTCCATTTGTTTCTCTATAGAACAGCTTTTTCCATCCATGAAGGCCTCATGTGATTGAACCTCCAGCTTCTCTGGATCTTATGAAATAACCGAATAAATCTCTAGCACTTACAGCATGTACATCCGATCTCTGATATTTTCAGATGCAAGAAAATTGCTCCAAGAATAACACATAACATGAGTCAAGAGCTTGTTATAATATGACAAAACTTGAAATGATTCTTCAGGGGGATTGTGGTTAACTAGAATCTTCTTCCCTTATAGTCCATGAGCTGTTGCAGAGGTCCTGACACACTTCGCAGAGCATAAGAATCCCTAGCCCTGTTACTAATATCACCACTTGCTCAACTTGAGTGGAAATATTCACAGAAGGGTTTTAAAGAACCAAAGACATGCTGGTTCATAGTTGGGTATAATAATGAAAAGCTGGCTGCAGATGAGGGTTGCTTTAGCTGAAGCAGGGCTGAGTAAATAGTTTTAGCAAGATCAAGGGGTTGGGTCTGGACTTCACATTTTGTGCGCAGAAAGGTTCTTTCTATTCATGGGAGGTAGTTGATTCCATAGGCTGAGGCTCAGCTAGAAAGTGTGGCAGGAGGCCCCTAGGAGAAGAAGGGGGAGAGGAAATCTCCTCCGTTCTGCTAGTGGAAGTGTCCCGTCAATAGAACTATACTTTAGTCAGAAGTGCATGGTGAGAGAAAGCTGAATCTTCTCCTAATATGTTTAGGTAAAGAAAAAGCGCACTGCTGGTTGACTCACTGACATGCACTAGGGTTATTTATCTGTAACAGATATATTCTTCTGATAAAACACTTAGCTTTTGGCAGAGTACGGTATATCTTACAATCAGAGTTAAGATTACATTTTCCAGGGTAGCTATATTGACTCCAAAGTGGACCTACCCAAGAGTAAGTGGTTTGATAGCTGTGCGCAGCAACAAATTTATTCTGGAAGCGAAACTGAAGCCCTTCAACTCACTTTGCCATTACGCTGAAGACACTTAGGAAGCAAATTAATAAACAAAATGCTTCCACTGCCGAAGACAAAGCTCTGTCGAGTCTTTTATAAGGCTTGTGAAATGAAGTAATTTCCTTAAATGAAGCCCCTACATATTAATCAGAAGTTCCACTATTGATTTCAGGGGCATTTAATTAGTCTCCAGTTGTAGAAAGGGGGGAAAGTGCATCTAGTTCGGCCATGATAGATTCTTTGAGAATTCATTATCTGTTTTTCACTTAAAAAAAAAAAAAGGTGCACACACACACAAACTGTCTTTCAGTTTCAATGAATCAATCATTTTCCATCAGCACCACTCCTCCGATAAGCTAAGCCAATCACTTTTTTAATCGATTTGGAGTGGTGAAAAGTTGCCACAGATATGGGATCCTGCAGCAATCAAAACAGAGAGCAGCTTCAGAATTGAAAGTGACAGATTTATTCATCACATAGTTAACAAGCCTTTGAAGGGAAAGAATGGGCCTGTCAGAGTTCTTGGGCTGTGTAGAAGAAGACTGTAGTGTAATACTGAAAGAATTGCCAATGAGCACTTCAGTGGAAAAAAAGACTAGATAATATTTTCATTAAAGTTCCAGCATGGTAATGTGCCCGAACACTGAACTCTACATTTAGATGTTCTTAAATTAAATGTTAAAATATTTGTTTTTTTTAAAAAACCCAATACTGGTAAACCTATTGTCATTCACTCACAATAGCTGTAATGGAGGGTCGTGTGAAAATAGCAGATTTTGACATTTTTGCACAATTTCAAACTGTTCCAGGCTAAGTTTAGAAGGCACAAAGATACGCTGAAACCATCAATTTAAGATCTCATCATTTCCTCATTGTTATGTTCTGAAGGGCCTTTTTGTCTTTTTGGCTCAGTGCCCTTTGCAAAATATTGTGAGAGCCCTGTGGGGATGTTTATGGGATTCTGTAAGATCCTGCTGGGTTTCTTTCTACTGTACTTTTAATGCATTTGTGAATTCACTATGTTTCCTGTCTGTGAGCACAGTAAGCATGTCACTTAACCATCCATTTGCAGATCATGCCTCATGGCAGTTTGTCTAAGATACCAGCCTTTCTGTCACACTGCAATTAGAAGAAACTTTATAAAAAAAAAAAATCACTGAGGGGAGTGAGGGAGGAGAGAATCCTCTGTTAAAGTACAGAGGTCATATATAAAACTGTATCAGTTTAAATGGCACATGGAAAGCAGAATAATTGTGACTGCAAGCATGAAATGAAGAGAGAGGTGGCACAAAAGCGATTTTGGAAAACATGGCTGCTGTTTATTTACTATCAGCAGTGCGGCCTTGTGGGAAACAAGTAGTTATTCAAGGGTGGGTAGGGAGGCCTTCCTCACCCCAGCGGCGGAGGAAGCCTCTTGGGCTCCTGGGGTGGTGCGCCCATAGGGGTGGGGCACACCACAGGGCCTGCCTCCTCCCACTCAGCCACCCTACAGCTGGGGGGAGGCAGCGGGCAGACTGTTAGTGGCAGTGCGGAGCCTGCGCGTGCCCAAGCCACTGCGTCCCTCCCAGGAGGCTGCAGGCCCTGCGGTGAGTGCTGCCTGGCATTTTGTCGACCCCTCAGTGGTGACACCCGGGCAATCTGCACCCACCACACCCACTTCCTCCACCCTTGCCGTACCCGCCCCATCTTGGTGCCCCACAAATCCAGGTGGGTGTTACAAGATAGCACCAAAGATAAACCTTACTTAGACAACAAGCCCCACAGACCAGGCAGGCACATTTTGTGTCTCACCTTTCATCTTCAAGGTGCCTAAGGGTCTCACCACCCCCTACCCTGTGGAAGAAGAAGAAGAAGAAGAAGAAGAAGAAGAAGAAGAAGAAGTATACCACCCTATGCCCACAGGTCTCAGGGTGGTTCACAACATAAAATCACAATATAAAAACACAAAATACATAATAAGAACAAGAACAAGCCAATAATCCCCCCTCCCCAACACATTTTAAAAGGATATTAGATGTCAATCTGACTGGCGCCTAAAGGTAAATAGTGAAGGTGACATTCAAACCTCCCCGGGAAGAGGAATTCCCACAGATACCTGTCAAATGTGACCAACTAAACTAGGAAACTAGGAAAATGCCAAGCAATCCAATTCACAAAGCAGCACATTAACCTATTTAAACAAGCCAAATTAGCACGGTAAGAGAAGCAGTACAGAGTAGGCAAAAAAAACAACAACCAAAAAAAACCAAAACCCCATAATGATCAGTCAACAAGTGAACCACCTGGCAAAAATATCCTGCTCAACTCCAAAAGGCAGCCAGTGAAATCTGTACTGCGCTCAGGGAGAGTGAGTGGGTGGAGAATGAAAGAGGCAGGTGGTGGAGCAGAGTGGTCTTCTATCTAGCCTTGCAAGCCCCACTCAATCATAGCATGCATGAGCATGTTGCATGACTGAAGTCATGCCAGAATCCCATTCCTGGTTTGGCCACAAAAGCCCTCTGCTGCTTGAGCTTTGAAGCCCAGTAGCTGAAAAGGAATTCCTCTCATCAGTAGTAGCCTTAACAGTGTGTAATGCTGGCTACATTAATTGGGCTCATGTCTTCCTCTGATACCCTCATTACTGTCTGACTCCCTGTCTTTATATCACTGTAAATAATGGGCTTTGATACATAATTAAGCAATAATTTTGTTTTCACAAATGCCTTTCATAAAGCTTACCTTAGGCAGAAGCTGCTCATCCAGTAATCATGAGAAGGCAGAAATATGAATCTGTTTGGTGTTTTTAGCATATATAATCCAGGTTTGTGGGAACGAAAAAGGATTTTAAAATAACAAACAATAAGGTATAGGCATATCAAGTGTCAATCTTGTTCTGGTGCTCATGGATACATCTACCTACCATGGCTTTCACTTTCAAGGACATACAGTGGTTTCTCCAAGTTTGTAATAACAAGATTCCTTTGGTTTCTTTAATGTGCTCTTTAATGTGCTCCTGCTCCTCACCCTCTCTTCTAAAATGTATCTGGTGGGTTATGATGCTTGCACCCAAAAGCAGGTCAGAGCTGTGGACAACTTTTCTCAAGAATCAGATCCAAAGAGAGAAGCCTTCTCTGAGTTGGGACTGCTGAATCTCCAGAATTATGGTCAACCCACTTCAGTTGTACACCCTGGATTTGCTTGTATGTTGTTTGTTTAGCTGTGCGCAGATTACACTTTAAGCTTGAAAGTGTAATTTAGCGTCATTTAAATGGTCCCTTGTTTCCTGGATTCCTCTGGTTGAAAATGGAAAATAGCCTATACACAGCTAAACAAACATGGATGGCGCTGGTAATATTCACTATCTTTTAAATATGTGTGCATATGTATATTGAACTAGGGTTTGTATGACTTCAGCTGATTAAAATAGAAAACATGTGACACTGAAATGCAGTAAAAAAAAAATGCCTCTCTTTCAAAGTGGCATAATCACTTTGACAGGGAAAGTGAGTAACAGATTATTACAGAGTTTGGACAGATAGATAGGTGATAGATATAGATAGATAGATGATAGATAGATCGATAGATAGATAGATGATAGATAGATTGATAGATTATATATAGATACACAGATAGATAGAGTCTTATCTTCCTAAGAATTTGGTTCTGGTATATATGGATAATAATTTCTTGTAATATTTGTTTGAGGTTAAACATTGCATTATAATATTAAATGTCGCCTTTCCCAATTTCTTAGTTAGTTACATTAATTCTTCCTTTAGTGATTCTGTTAACAAGTACAGCATGACCTCATTAAAATGGAAATCCTCTTAGTCAGAAGGCCACATCATAGTTGCAAATCAGATGAAGAGATGAGGTTGAAGATGTGGCCAATAGGTGTGCAGCTTGGTGTACTATAAACTTGTGTTCACAGCAAGCGCAATATCCTACAAAATGACAGTTTCTTAGAGCACACACATTTTTTTTCTTTGTGTGTTGTCACTGAACTGTGTAAATTGGTTTGAATAAGAGGCTAGAGATCAAACTTAATCTTATTCTGTTTACCCGAACTAGGATAAGTCCTTTTCAACAAACATGCAAATTGAATCAATCCAATTCCATGAATATGTCACTGCATATATTTCCCTGCCTAATAGACCAATTACATCTAGACTTTGTCTTCTGCTGCACATTTCCAGGGAGTGTAAGGATACCAGGCTTGCTGAAGTAGAAAATGCATAAAACAAACACATGTCAATATGTTTATATTGAAGCACTGGTATGTGGCCTTCAGGGATTCCACCTTGAAACCTTTGAGAAAGCTGACTGGTTATGCCTGTATTTGGAGTGCAAGAGAGTTACTTGTGCCCTGACCAACAAGGATGCTCCATGCTCAGAACTAGGCTTTATTGCAGATATCCCTTTCGTATCCATCTCTGCAGGCAAAACAATGTTGCATGAATGTTACCCCTTGTTGGATTTGGACAGCAGTACATACATCGCTGCACAGATACTGTCTGTACTGGCAGCTCTGAGTCCAGCTATGGAACCCTCATAGAACAGCCCTGATATGATCATAGCTATTTTGACCTTGTTAATGTTGAGTAAAAGGAAAATAATCAGCTCTCAAGTATTTTGTTGATAGAAAATGATTTTGACAAAATAGACATTGATTCCCACTGTGGCATTCGTACAGAGCTCCCGGTTGTTTCACAGGCTATTGACCTGTACACCACTGCTTTATTCTTCCGCTGCCACCAACCAGGTTTCTTCTGGTGAAATACTGAGTCTCAGCCAGGTTGTAAAGTCAACAACGAAGATTAAAGTTTATTGAAGAACAAACAAATTTTAAATATATTCAGAAAAGTTTCTCAATGCGTGCCCTTAACTAGATGTAGCACTATCTCACACTGTCACACTCTTCTCTCTCAATTCTATCCCTGTCTCTCGCTCTTGCTCTCACAACCACTATGTTCGTCTTACTGACTCTGTCTGACTCTGACTCCTCTATCTCCCAATGGTAAAACTGCTGGGCTGAGCCTCAAAACCCGGTAGGCTCCACCTCTGAGCTTTCTCATTGGTCAATCTACATTAACCATTTCCATCCCCCTGTACAAACAAAACCACAAGGAATGGGCAAACGCCACACCCACCCACCTAAAAAAAGAGCAAACTCCAGTCCCGACGAAGTATTGGGGCTTCTTTTCATATCTGCAAAGCATGTGCTTCACTTTCTGCTATCCATGTCTAGGGAAGGAAAATAATTGCAGTTACTGTAAATTTAATGTGAATCTACCAAATTGGAGTTTGCTAAAACAATACAGAGACTGAAATGCAGTGATCCTTCACAATTTGCACTGCACCCCACCCAAAAACATATTAGGGAAATATGCACAAAAATTCACATATTAGTATGACAGAGAAAAATGCATTATATTAAGCAAAATGGCTTGCAAATTTTTCTGTGTTAAAAGAAATGCACTCTAAAATGCTGGTAATTTTTTGTAAGGACTTTATTTAAAAAGAACAACGCAGAAACAGATGGAGAACTCTGGAGAACTGAACATGAGTGGAGAAAATGAGAGAAACTGAAATTGGCAGGTTCGTTCACACAGTGTGTGTTGTGTGTGCAGTGGCAGGACTTTGCACAAGTGGAAAACATGATTTTTCTGATCCTGTGGACTTGTGGCACTGCATACATCCTTATGCATGACCCCCTGTTGCAAACTACAGTGTGTGGACAGGGAGTACAGTGCTTGCTGTTGTCTTTAAGCCATTTGCTCATTGTATGCACATAGAAGTGTCTTAATGTCTAAATGGGTCATCTGATAGAAACAATGCAGAGGGAGGAAAATCTGGTGCAAGATTTATGTGATATTCAAATATTGATTCAAAATGTATCCCATTCATTTATACAAAGAACATGCCACTTTATGCAGTCTCTCAATATATATTATGACACTAACAAAATTTTACAGACTAAATTTCTTTACTACCAGAAGATAAAATAACAAAAGTGATGGAAACACATTCATTCATCTTTCAGCACCAATTTAACCCCCCTACCCCCGACTGAAGGACTTTAGTTAACCCCCCAAGAGCACTTGGTTATTTGCTTTTGTTATATGCAGAAACTACTATTACGGGGGGACCAAATCCAAAAAAAGACATTTCACCACTTAGAGCAGTTGAAAAGATGCACAACCCTATTTGAAGTTACATTCAGGTCAGGCCTGCGTAACCTGACACCTATCTGGCTGAGCCCAGTCCACAACCCCCACCCCATCCTGGTACTTGATTATCTCCTGTACTGCTTCTTACCAAGGACTATTAAGAGAGAAAACAGTGCTGGTAATCTGTTTAGGTGGATGACATTTGGAGGACCTACTTTAGCCCTCAATATCTACATTACTTTGGATGGATCAAGCTTCCTCAGGCTAAGAAAATGACAGATTTTGTACCTTTGCTTTAAAGCAGAAGTATGGACATTCTGGCCATAGCTGTCAACTTTTTTCTTTTCTTGCGAGGAATCCTATTCGGAATAAGGAAATTTCCCTTTAAAAAAAGGAAACGTTGACAGCTATGATTCTGGCCTTCCAGATGTTGATGGACCAGATGTTGCCACACCATCCCTTAACATTGGCTATAATGTCTCAAACTGATGGGAGATGGAAATCAACAACATCTTAAGGGCCAAAGGTCCCCTATCCGTATTTAAAGGCACTTGATGACAATAGCACTTTCCAATTCATGACCCTCAGCCTGTGACGTAGCATGCAAGGCTGTTGTGGGTGCACCCTGGGTTGGTGCCCTTGGTGGGTGCAACAGGCATGCACCCAAAGGGCGCACTCACGCCACCCTGTGAGCCCTGCACCCTGAACAGGAAGGCAAGACATTGTGGTTTGGCAATAAAAAAGCCACAGCTCCATAAGGCAAGAGGTACTGCCATGTAAAAGAAATGTTAGACATCAGGACAGAAGCACCTACATCAGTAAAATTAGCACAATAAACCCCATGTGTGAATGCAGTCTGGAACAATCCAGAACTGGAACATACCTTTCCTGACCTACCCTGGATAGAGTTGACAAAGTGGGGTGCCCTATACATCATTGCCAAGAAAGGTTCCATTTGTAGATCAGGATCTGACTCAGCTCTAAAACATCTGTATCGAAACTTCAAAGTAATGCTTACCGAACCACCATGTGCTTAGATGAATAAAAGTTGGATCGCATGATAAAACAACTGACAACAACAGCAGCAGAAAAGATCATGGTGCTCATGTGAAAAGGATATATGCCCCTATATGTGGGGGTGAACAGGTGTTCTCGAATCTTGATCAGCAGGTGTCTGCACTTTCAAAGCAAATATGTGATTCACATGAAAAATAACTTTCAGACTGGAATGTCCTTTTTTCTTGGCAGTCTGGAATACAGGTGTGTCATCTATTAAAAACAAGAAGCATTTCCCGCTGTTAAACTTCATGAAAGTGTATATAATATTAGCAAATGCAAACAAACTTGGCTATGGCTTAGGCAGACTTTTTCAACTTTTCAAAGCCTTTGGGAAGCTGCCCTTTTAAGTATTCTGCATTCTTGTTGCTCTGTCTTGCTCTGCTTTCTCATTTTGTTTTTACTGCAAAAGTAGGAGATTTCATACTTTAAAGAATACTGGTTGAAAAGAATTTAAAGGAGCCGTTTTAAGTGAGGGACCAGGGAAGGTTTGTGATGTGCAACTATCAAAGGACAATTCACTTTTTTAAAAAAATGATACAACAAAATAACCTTCTCTGTGAACTAAATAATAATTTGTTTCTCTCATTAAGCTGCCAGTTTTAATTATGAGTGCACAAATAGTTCTGTCAGGGCGGGTAAACTATTTCCACAGATCACCTTTTATTCATGCTGTTTCTGCCTATTTGTGACCTGATTGACCACTGCTTTTTGTCAAGTTTTTTTTTCCTTTTCCTTTTCCTTTTTCCATTCCTCAGATTGGTGATTCTTTCTGGGAGTAGCCAGCTGTGATAAGTGATGAGACCAATCATTATGTCTTGCAGCCCATGAGATTCTTTCAGAAGTTGTCCTCCACGTATTCTGTGGAGAATCAGAAAAAGTCTGATAGTTTTAAGATGCTCTATAAATAGAAAAAATAAGAATGTTTATGAGTATAATAATACTGTTGTGTTTACACCTGGGTAAGAATAAATGATGAAATGGTCAGCGCTAGCTGAATTCCGACTGTTATTTCTTATACATCCTGCTGTCGGCTCCTACAGTTACAAAGAAAGCTGCTACAGGCCCCAGTGGTTAACACTTAAAAGCTTGCCAGCTTTTATACTTGGCAGGAGGCTTCAAAAGGTCAGGATTTGATAGGACAGCTTTCTCCATAGAAATGGATGTGCAGAGAGATAAGTAATTAAAAGCCATTGGTCAGAGGGTCTTGTACAAAATGGTATTATATAAAGGGCAGTTGTCCTCAATGTGGTCAGTGTGTGGTCTGATGATCAGCCAGCACAGTAAAGAACAGTACACAGAGAAATGGAAGAGAGGAAGTCACTGAATGCAAAAGCTCCAGGAGATCACAAAAAGAGGAAAACTCCAGTGGCTCGAGTTACAGCAGCAGGAAGTTGGCCCCAGGAAGCAGGAAGACATTAGAGGAGATTAATGTGTCATGTTGTTGGGGGTATCCTCAAGTCTTGACCAGAAGGAAGGGTTCCCTGGAAACTGAAAAAAGTGTATCAGAGAAAGAGTGCTTGTCCCATTAAGTTGGCAATTGATTGTGGATGACAGCTAAGGGATTCTGGTCTATCCTGTATCAATAGAGTAAGTCTTCTAAAAACAAACAAACCCAACCTTAATGCATTGAACAACGACAACAAAAAATCAGCCATCAAATCTTGAAAAGTAGTGTTACAATCTGAACTACTAATGTTAAAGCAGGAACTCCTCTGAAGAAAATAAAAGAGGTACCCAGCCTCTTTTTCAGTACTTTGCTAATTCTCTATGATAATTTGGCACAACAAACTTGAAAGTCTCATTATCACCTCACTCACATGCCAGAATAAGGCGAGTCCCCCCGCCCCCCGCCAATAATTTTTAGAATGCACCTGCTGAAATCCAATTAATATATCTCCCTTTCGGGGCATAAAAGAAATGGTCCCATGAAAGTTGAGATATTCTCTCCACCACTTTAGTTTTAGTTTGCTGAGAACTATAACTTCTGCTTTTGCAACTTCATTTTGATTGTGTTTTATTCTTTGAACTGTTTTTAGTATATATATATTTTATATTATATTTCTACTGAAGAGCATGATACACACTAGTTATTTGCTCATTTACAAATGAATGAATGTTTGCTGGCCTGTGGATAAGCGTAAGATTCACTAATGTATCTGGACAAGACAGCAAGAGACTTCTTGGTGCTTTTTGCTAATGAAATACAAGGTCAGACGTTTGCTGAAAGATAAATTGTAGACAGCCCTGCAACTCTTTTTTTTTTTTTTTAAAGAAAGCTTTGATCTATCAGACAGCATTAAGAGCAAAATATAAAAGAGCTTAAACAATGAAACACCACCTGCATAATTAAATTCTAGTATTTAGCTCTTCTGTGTACACACAAATCAGAACTTCCTTTCATATTCTGTGGTGTTTTCAGTTCCGCTCGTGTAAATACTTTGTTCAAGGTAGGGAAAGGATGCCTAAAACAGTAGCCTAGGCCTCTTCAGAAATACTTTTAAGACCCATTACTTTCATAACTATCTGCCACAAATTATCTTAAAAGGAAGATTAAGCAGTATAATCCTTTCATTTAAGGAAGCTGGCAGCTACATCAGTCAAATTTTGAGCAAAATAGTTCCACTGGTATTAGCGAGTGACATAAAAAGGATTCCATTCATGTGAGATAGATAATGGTTAAAGGTTAATCAAGCATAAGTGACAATCAATGGCAGCACTCCCTTGCCCTATACATTTTGCTTAGCCCAGATAAGCATAGCTAAACATATAGTACCAACCTGGATACTCCAGAGACTGAGTAGCTTTTACAATAACACTTTTACACTTTAAAAATACCATCCAGGAATACAATAGTGTAAAACAGTGTTTCCTATAGACTGCCACTTGATGAATCCTCACTCTTCATAAGGATCTGATTCTGCAGCCTGGTTTTGGTCACCACCATAAGTGGCAGAGATATCTTTTGGCATATTTTGTTGTCCCACTCCCATTCCCTCAAATTGCTACCTCTCCCCCTTTACTTTCCTCTCCCCCTTCCAAATTTGAGCAGGTTTCCTAGGGAGGACTTTTGGTTCGACATTACTTATGAGTTAACCAAGGTATTTTAGGAAGCTGTCTTTGGAGGCTTACAAAACCAGTCCAATATGGAAGAAGAAGAAGAGGAAGAAGAAGAAGAAGAGGAAGAAGAAGAAGAAGAAGAAGAAGAAGAAGAAGAAGAAGAAGAAGAAGTTCATTGCATTAAATTACCTGTGTAAAAAACAAAAGAAAGGAAAAGAAAGGAAAATATTTATTGGACAGTTGAAAATCTGCTACACTCGGCAATCAATATGATCTGGTGAAAAACATAGTGAGGAATTCCCCTCTGTATAGAAGCAGAACCCAGCAGTCGAAAACTCGGTGTACTACTTACTAGACCACTCCAAAATGTCTCGTTTTGAAATGATGAATGGCTATTGTCTTTCCGCTGTTTGCAGGTAGTCAGCGCTGGGGGTGGGGGGAGGAGAGACTGGTAGCTAGCCTCATGATATTATAAATGGCAACAGCTGCCGCTATTATGCCTCACTTGCACAGAAAACTTTTAATCCAATTAGATTCAAGGTGAGGGGGGTGTTTTGGATTGTTTACACTCTTAAACAGGGGATACCAATAACGAACTCTCTCCCCACCCTATTACCTCTCACAGTCTTCCTTGCATGGACAGGCGGAGTCCCCCAAACCCTGGACGCCCCCCCCCATGTGGAATAACGACTCAAGACAATGTGCTATGGGATTAAATTGGCCACAACTTTATTATATTTCAGATGTGGGTAGACCTTGGCTCAGGCATCGGACGTTTATCCCTCCCCAGTCCCCAGCCGGGGATCTAGGAAACATCAGGGTTATCCAGTGTGTGGGGGGGATGGGCCGGCTCTGGAGAACATATGTTCAAGCAGAGATAGCCGCCCCCGTTACGCCGCCGTCGCAGGGGAGAACAATGACAACCTCTCAGTGTATGGTCAAAGCCTCCCCTCAGAAACCCCTTTAATGGGGAACCCTGGTATTGCTGCTGCAAAGAGGAAGGGGGTGTGGGTCACCGCTGCAAGCTCCCCCATTCAGGAAGATAGACTAAAGGATTCCACCCAAGGCCTGATACTGCCAAAGTTGTGATGTTTTGCTATGGGAAAGGCAAAACCTGCCAATGCAGGGGAATTCCTTTCCGGCCCTTCAACAGCGACCTTGACGTAGCAGCACCCGCATACCTGTGAAGAAAAGGTTAACCTGCAAAATAAGACTTAACTGAGGGTGGGTAGAGTGGGAGAAGCTCTGGAGCCAAGTGAGGATTCCCAGGTAAGGTCCTCCCTCTATTGTGTGGGCAGGTAGTCCCTCCCCTACCTGGCCTGGTCTCCTTGGCAATGCTTCCCCAGGCGGGATTGGACAACTGACTGAGGTAGGCGGAGACCTCCAGGTATCCCACCTGGGGGAAGGTGAAGCCAAGCCTGTGCTGATGGAGCCACACAAGGTCCAGGGGCTGCGCACGTCCACGCAAAGGGCGCCCCCCGTTTCATGTGGGGAGCAGTCATTCCTTGACACTCTCTCTTTAGCACACTTCCTGACTATCTGCCTTGCATGATATTTCTGGCATAGATAATTTCCCTGATACTGACACTTCTGCTCAGACCGCTTGCCCCACCGAAGCCTTGCCTACTAGGGTCACATGGTGGATTCCAGTGAGATCTCGTGGAATGCTTCCTAGAGTTCTCTGAGATCTTGCTAGAGCCCAGTGGTGACAGGGGCAGGTGGGGCACCCATGGGTGCACCGCCCCTCAAGGATTCCACTTCCTGAGGCAGCTGATTCAGCCCACCTCATAGGCTGGCTGGCTCTGCTTCTGTTCACTCATCCTGCACTGGCTACACCACTTTCTTATTTGTTTTGCAATCAGCTACTATTGCTTGATGCTCCTCCCACACCCTGTATTAGGGATGCGAGTGGTGCTGTGGGTTAAACCACAGAGCCCAGGACTTGCCGATCGGAAGGTTGGCGGTTTGAATCCCCGCGACTGGGTGAGCTCCCGTTGCTCGGTCCCTGCTCCTGCCAACCTAGCAGTTCAAAAGCACGTCAAAGTGCAAGTAGATAAATAGGTACCATTCCAGCAGGAAGGTTAACGGCGTTTCCGTGCGCTGCTCTGGTTCACCAGAAGCGGCTTAGTCATGCTGGCCAATAAAGCGAGATGAGCGCTGCAACCCAGAGTCGGTCACGACTGGACCTAATGGTCAGGGGTCCCTTTACCTTTACCTTTATAGCTTGCACATGGAGTCACTGGTGTGGTGAGCATGGGCACCAACATAGTTCCTATGGCACCCAAAAAGTATCTTAGTAACTATTCCGTGCAAAAGCCACAATGCATATGAGACTGTTTGCTCTTCCTGCTCAGCTCTGGCTTCTGCTACATGCTTCCGTGGCAGCCATTTTATGACAGGTGTCACTGGAATTTTCTCAAAACTCTGAATATGCCTACTGGAGCAAAAAGGGTGGCAGACCCAACATACACATAAACAGGTCTACAATGACAATTCTGCTTTCTCTAAGAGCAATATCTGTTTTTCTAGGTGGGGAATGTTAGGAGGGGATTTTGAGCGGAGAATCAACTCCGCTTGCACAACTTGCACAGATGATAGGGTGCAAACCTCTTTTCATATAATCTGTGTGAACCCCCTGCCACTTTTTCCCACCTGCATGTTTTCAAAAGCATACTTTCTTGCAAATATAAATATGTAATCTCATGTGGGAAAGGGGGCTGTTGTGGTGTGTGTGTGTGTGTGTGTGTGTGTGTGTGTGTTTGGAGGCAGAGAGAGAGAGAGAGAGAATTAAGAATATGGTAGTCTGGGACAGAAACAGGATTAAGCAAGGCTTTCCAATTGCTTCCCCACTCTACATTCTCCTGCCACAGCTGTTTTTTCCCTAGGACTGAGCAGATGTCACACTTTCCTTTCATCTGTATCTGTCTGTAATGTGCTCTTACAAGCCATGGTGAAGAGAAAGTTCTGCCCATTGGCTCGAGAGAAACAGCCACCACCTGAACAAATGGTTGTCTGGGTTTCAGTCTCACAGCTATTTAACTTAATTCCCTGAAGAAGGATGTCTCTGTGCTCTAGACCCAGCAGTGGTCTCTGTCTGTTAAGTAGATCTTGATACCCAGGATGAACTTAAACCAAATGCCAAACAGTGGAAGCTTTGCCAGGATTTCGACTGTTAGTTTTGCAGAGTAAAGTTAAAAGAGCTTGACATGCATCATAGCATTTTGCTGCAGCGTGATAAAATTTATAGCACTGGCGAGCAGGGCCTTAGCTTTGGAATTATCGGCCTATCCAGCTTGATGCTGGAAGCAAAGTGCATGAATAGAGTCCAGATCCCGGCAGTGTAAAAATGCTTTCCTAACCAATGATGAGCTAAAATATGAAATAACTGAAGGGTGAACCAGGGAGTTGGCTTTGGTGAAGAATGTTTTGCCAATCATTCAGTGATTGCTGACAGGATTACAAGCTGAGCTTTGTCAGCCAAAGAAGAAACAAGAAAGAAAATGAGCAGGAGAAGCTCATGCCAAATGGGAGACTGATAGCTGTGAACGAGTGAAGTACTATCATTTCAGCTAGCAATGCACTGCTGGAATGGGTTTTGTAGGGTCTTACTTCAGAACCACAACAGATTCAACCTTGATGTGTCAAAAGGTGGCACAATCACCTGATGTGCACTACATTCTGCCACTAGTATGTAGTGGAGTAAAGTGGAAGAAGGTAATTGGAAAGGGCATAGTAGATGATAATATATGACAGCTGCCATTTTATCAGGGTAGCAGTTTGGAGTGTGCCTGCAGATGGGAACTGGGAGTCCAGTCCAAGGAGCAACAAAGGTTATCAGAGGGTAAACCAGAAGAAACAAACACAGAACAAACCAGGACTAAAGAAGATCAGAAATAAATATCAGATGAAGTTAAGGGGAGATAACTAACAGTCCCTTATTTAGGGAATTCTCAGCCAGAGGGCACAGCCTCTGACCCAGAGGATGGGTCCCCTACAGTACATCTGTCCCTCAGCCTCACAGAAGACAAACTTTACAAAACAATGTGAAGACCCTTTAAGCAAACATCTCCTTCAGAAAGCGGAGACTCCTCCACTTCAGATCTAGTCAGCCTAAGGTAAAGGTAAAGGGACTCATGACCATTAGGTCCAGTCATGACCGACTCTGGGGTTGTGGCGCTCATCTCGCTTTATTGGCCGAGGGAGCCGGCGTACAGCTTCCGGGTCATGTGGCCAGCATGACTAAGCTGCTTCTGGCGAACCAGAGCAGCACACGGAAATGCCGTTTACCTCCGGCTGGAGCGGTACCTATTAATCTATTAAAGTCCAGCAACTGGAGGAACGTGTAGCTATGCTCCAAAGAATTAGAGAGCTGGAGCTCTTCTTGGAAGCAACAGAGCACACCGTCTCCACCAAGGAGGAGACAGGGGACTCCCCTGAGAAGGATGCTAGTTCACCAACACAGGAGCCAGATATATGGAGAAACGTGACTCAAAGAAGTAGGAGGCCCAGGGTTCGCTCTGATTGTTTAGAAATACACAATCACTTTGAGGTCCTCTCCACTAGCATGGAAGACGAAGAGCAGACTCCATTTGAAGATCTCTCCCTCATTACAGTCGATCAGGTATATGAAGACGAGCAGCAAAGTCAGTCCTCAGGGAATGTGCAGGCAACCTTGGAACGGACAGCTCACGGAAGAACCCCGACCAAACCTAAGAGGAGGTGTGTAGTGGTGATAGGGGATTCCCTACTGAGGGGAACAGAAGCAGTGATCTGTGGGCCTGACAAGATGTCTCGGGAAGTGTGCTGTCTCCCCGGGGCTAAGATCCAAGATGTAACTGAACGACTGCAAGGAATCATAAAACCCACTGACAAATACCCCCTCCTCTTGGTTCATGTGGGAACCAATGACACTGCAAGCAATAGCCTCCAGAAGATCAAAAGAGACTACGAGGCTCTGGGCAGGAAATTGAAGCAATTAAATGCACAAATTGTCATCTCATCTGTCCTCCCAGTTAAACGGCGTGGCTCAGGGAGAGAGGGAAAAATAGTGGAAGTGAACAGCTGGTTTCGCAAATGGTGTAAACAGGAACGGTTTGGATTCTTAGATCACGGACAGCAGTTTCTTGAAGATGGACTTCTGGCAAGCGATGGGCTGCACCTCACAATGGTTGGGAGGAATGTTTTTGCCAAAAATCTCAGAAACCTCATCAGGAGGGCTTTAAAATGACTAATGTGGGGGAGGGAGACAGTGCTCCTGAAGGTAGGAATCTATCAATTGATGAAGATGATCATCCAAATGCCATAGACCAAATGGAGCAAACAGCATGCAGACCTAGTGGTGGGAGGAAAAAATCCTTAAATAAGAGTCACGGGGGAATGATTAATGGACTTCAGTGTCTGTACACTAATGCGCAAAGCATGGGAAATAAACAAGATGAGCTTGAGCTCTTGGTACAGCAAACTAAATATGACATAATAGGCATCACTGAAACCTGGTGGGATAAGTCCCACGATTGGAATGTAATAATGGAGGGATACAATCTATTTCAGAGAAACAGACCAGACAAGAAAGGAGGAGGAGTGGCGTTATATGTCAGGGATGTGTATACCTGTGAAGAGATCCAAGATTTAGAACCTCAAAGCCAAAGTGAGAGCATTTGGGTCAAAATTAAGGGAGAGAAGAATAACAGTGACCTCATTGTGGGAGTTTACTATAGATCCCCAAGCCAAACGGAGGACATAGATGATGCCTTCCTGGAACAGATGGCCAAGCATGCAAAAGGAAGGGAGATAGTAGTAATGGGGGACTTTAATTACCCGGATATTTGTTGGATGTCAAACTCAGCCAAGAGCATAAGGTCAAACAGATTCCTCACTGGCCTTGCAGAATGAACTCAGGCTTGCTAGAGAGGTTAAAAGCAACAAAAAAGGCTTTTATGGGTATGTTCGTAGCAAAAGGAAGAACAAAGAAACAGTGGGGTCACTCAGAGGAGAAGATGGTGAAATGCAAACAGGGGACACAGAAAGGGCTGAACTCCTCAATGCCTTCTTTGCCTCAGTCTTCTCCGATAAAGAAAACAATGCCCGACCTGAAGAATTTGGAGCAAATGATTCAGCAGAGGAAACACAGCCCAGAATAACTAAGGAGATAGTACAAGAATACTTGGCTAGTTTAGATGTATTCAAGTCTCCAGGGCCAGATGAACTGCATCCAAGAGTATTAAAAGAACTGGCAGATGTGATCTCAGAACCACTGGCAGTCATCTTTGAGAATTCCTGGAGAACAGGCAAAGTCCCGGCAGACTGGAGGAGGGCAAATGTTGTCCCTATTTTCAAAAAGGGGAAAAGAGAGGACCCAAATAATTACCGCCCAGTCAGTCTGACATCAATACCAGGGAAGATTCTGGAGCAGATCATTACAAACAGTCTGTGAGCACCTAGAAAGGAATGCTGTGATCACCAATAGTCAGCATGGATTTCTGAAAAATAAGTCATGTCAGACTAACCTGATCTTGTTTTTGACAGAATTACAAGCCTGGTAGATGAAGGGAACGCAGTGGATGTAGCCTACCTTGATTTCAGCAAGGCATTTGACAAGGTGCCCCATGATATTCTTGTAAAGAAGCTGGTAAAATGCGGTCTTGACTATGCTACCACTCAGTGGATTTGTAACTGGCTGACTGACCGAGCCTAAAGGGTGCTCATCAATGGTTCCTCTTCATCCTGGAGAAGAGTGACTAGTGGGGTGCCACAGGGTTCTGTCTTGGGCCCGGTCTTATTCAACATCTTTATCAACGACTTGGATGATGGACTCAAGGGCATCCTGATCAAATTTGCAGATGACACCAAACTGGGAGGGGTGGCTAACACCCCAGAGGACAGGATCACACTTCAAAACGACCTTGACAGATTAGAGAACTGGGCCAAAACAAACAAGATGAATTTTAACAGGGAGAAATGTAAAGTATTGCACTTGGGCAAAAAAATGAGAGGCACAAATACAAGATGGGTGACACCTGGCTTGAGAGCAGTACATGTGAAAAGGATCTAGGAGTCTTGGTTGACCACAAACTTGACATGAGCCAACAGTGTGACGTGGCAGCTAAAAAGCCAATGCAATTCTGGGCTGCATCAATAGGAGTATAGCATCTAGATCAAGGGAAGTAATAGTGCCACTGTATTCTGCTCTGGTCAGACCTCACCTGGAGTACTGTGTCCAGTTCTGGGCACCACAGTTCAAGAAGGACACTGACAAACTGGAACGTGTCCAGAGGAGGGCAACCAAAATGGTCAAAGGCCTGGAGACGATGCCTTATGAGGAACGGCTACGGGAGCTGGGCATGTTTAGCCTGGAGAAGAGGAGGTTAAGGGGTGATATGATAGCCATGTTCAAATATATAAAAGGATGTCACATAGAGGAGGGAGAAAGGTTGTTTTCTGCTGCTCCAGAGAAGCGGACACGGAGCAATGGATCCAAACTACAAGAAAGAAGATGCCACCTAAACATTAGGAAGAACTTCCTGACAGTAAGAGCTGTTCAACAGTGGAATTTGCTGCCAAGGAGTGTGGTGGAGTCTCCTTCTTTGGAGGTCTTTAAGCAGAGGCTTGACAACCATATGTCAGGAGTGCTCTGATGGTGTTTCCTGCTTGGCAGGGGGTTGGACTCGATGGCCCTTGTGGTCTCTTCCAACTCTATGATTCTATGATTCTATGATTAATCTACTTGCACTTTGACGTGCTTTCGAACTGCTAGGTTGGCAGGAGCAGGGACCAAGCAACGGGAGCTCACCGCGTCATGGGGATTTGAACCGCCAACCTTCTGATCGGCAAGTCCTAGGCTCTGTGGTTTAATCCACAGCGCCACCTGCGTCCCAGTCAGCCTACATAAGGTTTAATATGGCTCCAGCTCTCTGTGAACCAGCTTCTCTTGCCTTAGCTTCAAAGAGCTGTCCAAGGTTCTATATGCTCTCTCCTTGGTCCTGACTTACGACTGCACAATCCTTGCTTCCCTTTTGAGCCTTAGGTAACCACAGAAAGTGGACATGTGTCAGGGATTCTGCATATATCTAAACATATTTATAAAGAAATGAAAAAGAAAATGAGAGCTTGGTGGTCTGGTGGTGACACTCTGTGGTCATCAAACATGGGGTCTTTCACCAGGTAAGCAGTGGTTGATTAAGGAGACCCAAAGTAAGAGAAGGCAACTGTCCTTCTCAATTATTTGTTCCAATATCTAGACTCAAATGGCACATTACCTTGAGCATGGATGGAGGCTGCATTTACTTATCACATTTAATAGCCTTTGAAAGACCTTCTGCCCGTTAATTTGTCTAATCCCATTTTAAGCTTTAGCCCTACTATGCAATAACTACAAGCATCAAGGTGATTTGGAGGAGGGTGGGGTTCTGAATATATCTCAGGTTCCCATACAATTGATGCAACTTCTGTTTTTCTGACTTCTGCTTTTTAAAAAAAACTGTTTTAAAGAAAAGCTGAAATAGAAGTATGCAAAAAAGGACAACTTTAACAATTATTTAAACTGCAGGATACATAAATATGTGATTGGAATAGAAGCTGGAGTATGAAATAAAGCAGATTTGAAACTGTATATATGCGAAAACACAATACTATTGTCTCATTGGGGACCATTCAGTCAAAAGGAGTGTAATTGTTAAAATTTATTTGCATTCAGTATATAATTGCAGGATGTAAGCATTTCACTAGCAGGGCTAAGTACATGTGTGGTGTGAGATGGGGGATAAGTGCACAATTGTCGATCTGCATCTGATATAGAAACACCCTACCATTGTTCTGGTAGAGGCAGGTTATCCAAAAGATTATAATTATGACTCATGAGAACATATATATTCCTAAAAAAAAGTTAAAATACTATGATCTAAAATTTTGACTTGCACAAAAAAGTAAAACATAATAATGCATTTCATAATGTTCATGCATAAATCAGGCAAAGTCTATATTTGATTTCTGCAGAATATATTCAGTTCTTTGTCAGATGCCCGCCAGTTTATTTTAGTAATTTTTATTTTATCAAAAGAGCACTGTACTTGCATTGAATTTGTGCATCACTTTTGCCATAAGTCTCTGCTAGTAAATCATCAAAGACTTAATGAACCTTGTGGTTACCATATTTTCATTCTTCCCATAGATGCCAGCCCCTGCAGACTATGCAAGCCTAACCATACCCAATCATAAGGATAATGTGGGGGGGAGGGACCTACTTAAACAATACTGTGAATTCACATTGTCTTTTCTAGTTTTAAAAGCACCCCACTCTTCTTCTTCTTCTTCTTCTTCTTCTTCTTCTTTGGTAAGGGGGAAACGTTTAGCAGCATTTTCTAAAAGCCCTATACTGTTCAGTTCACATGCAACAAAACATAGTTTGGAGATTGACAGTGCAATTCTAGACACATCTGCTTGTAAGTAAGACCCAGTCAGCGGGGCTTAATCCTATAGACGTAGATGGGCATATGATTGGAGCCTGGAAATATGGCAGAGATTCAGAAGCTGCCTCTTTGCCCTCTCTTTTTGTATAGTGTTCTTCAAGTGTTCAAAGCCTCACCTGATGAAGGCAGAATGAGGATGCACTAGCTGGTCTGCCCCTCCACATCACATCTTCATCTCCTGGCCCCTCTTGTCATTTCTTTTATTGCTAGGAGGCACCCTCAGAATATTTATACCAACGTGCTAATACTAATACTAATAATACTAATAGCATTAATACTGCCACTGTAGGCGGCTCCCAACAGAATATTAAAAGCACGATAAAACATTAAACATTAAAAACTTCCCTAAACAGGATTGACTTCAGATGTCTTTTAAAAGTCAGATAGTTGTTTATTTCTTTGACATCTGATGGGAGGGCATTCCACAGGGCGGGTGCCACTACCAAGAAGGCCCACTGCCTGGTTCCCTGTAACCTCACTTCTTGCAGCGAGGGAACCACCAGAAGGTCCTTGTAGCTGGACCTCAGTGTCCAGGCTGAATGATGGGGGTGGAGATGCTCCTTCAAGTATACTGGGAAGTCATGATATGATGTGATAAGAATGTGGGTTTCTTTGTCATATTTGAATGAGTTGCTACATCACTATGCCTTTGTGGAATTTAATTTATCTCCCTTAGACAGCTATATCCCAGGATAAAAGCAAACTGAAGGTGGCTTACAAATAAAAATAAAAATCTGAACAAAAAATAAAATAAACCTAAAAAATAGAACAAAATAAACAAGCAGTGCCAGGAAGCATTGTCAAAAGTTTAATGTGATTTACATAATTGTGAATATTGTCATATGGCTCTTTCCAAGCATTTTTGTCATACAGAGTGCTATGATGAACATGCTAATCCTTGCAACAACAACAACAATAAAACCCTCCTGAAAACCATTGTTCACAAAATGACTGCTACGTGGTGTCTGTTTTATCTATGCTAGCCTGACACATTTATTTTTGAACCTGTCCTCCAAATATAATTACTGGTAACTCACCCAGCTTTTCATCCCGGATGACTCTAAATATTAGGTGAAAAAGTTAATGATGCTGTTTAATGGGTATCTTTTTGAATCACATTAAATTGTCCATGGTGAACGATGTATTTATCATTTCGTAAGTCAACATGGTCAAAGCTGTTCTTTCTGAAAACAACACATGAAGAAGACATGGCAGGTATACGCATAGCTGTGCTGAGTTTTACTTTAAAACCTTGCTATTGGCATGGGAGGTTGGTGTGGCCAGATATGTTCAATTGCTTTTCTTCTATATAAGCTGTCTAGAATAGTAAATCATCTAACAGGGAGTGCTAGGTTTCTTGTGTATTGTAAAATGAAAGTGTCTGAAATATGGAGCAGGGAAGCTAAACGGTTTGGTTACATTTTACTGGTAAAGTCTCATTGCCATTCTCTCCTGTATGCATTCCAGATGTTTGCATGTGTTGAGGCACACATTTTCTGAACCTTTCAGATCCTTTTGAACCCTTGATCACTTTTTCATCCCCTCATCATTAAATCCAGCATTGACATACAAGTACAGCTTCTACCCTACAAGTAACAATTGATACCACAGTTTAGAAATAACATGTGGGCTGCTGACACAATGAGTCCACATTGGCTCCTATCTTTGAGCACTGGCTTATTGTATTTTCATCATAATCAGTTCCCTTGTTTATAGCCAAACACTTTGGAATATCTGAGAACAACCTGTAATATGCTCAATATACTACGCTGCTGTGGTTTATTCATGCTAAAAAAAAATCAAAACAAATGACATGCACGATATGCCATGGATGCATTTCTCAAAGAAAAAACAAACCAAACAAAAACCTAAGAAAAAAATAGGAAATAACTTGTATCATTTACTGACCCAGTTTGAGGCTTGGAACCCTTCAGTCCCTATCAACTCTTAGTATTAATTTGTCAGCAAAGGATTTGGGTACTAGGAAGCTAATCAGACAACTGAGCCATCTACTGTAGTTCGGTATTGTCTATCCCAGAGGTGCCTAACGTGTGGCCCTCCAGATGTTCTTGGACTACAAATCCTATCACCCCACCACCCATTGGCCATGATGGCTGGTGCCAATGGGGCCTGCAGCCCAATAACATCTGGAGGACCACAGGTCAACAACACCTGGTCTTTACTAACCTGAAACAGCTCTCCAAGGTTTCCGAGAGGAGCCTTCCCCAGCCCTACCTGGAGATTACAGAAACCAAACTTAGGTGTTTTGCATACCAAGCATGCACTCTGCAACTGAACTCTGGCCCTCCCCAAAACCAGAGATGCCTGGGAATCCATCTGGAACCTTCTTTATGAGAACCATGTGTTTCTGAGCTATTGTGAAAAGCTCACCTCACAACTGAGAAAAGCTTTTACAAGCCCCTCAAAGTTATTCCCTGAACCCGATTCAGGAGAACTTCACTGGCACCTCTACATGTAAACTCTTGCAACTTTCTAGCCAATACATCAGAGAAGTGATTGCTCTTGATTAGGGGGGAAATTGCCCTTGCTTACAGAACACTAATACATGAGAGAAATATAAGCTAGAACCTGTTATCCATGTCAAGATTTGAGGCTGAATGAACCAGGCCTATGTTTTGCAGCAAAAAAATGATTGGTTGTCTATATTCACAAGTTCTATCATCTTGGAAGCTAACAGTGTATTCTGTCCAAGTCTACTTCGAAGTGAGAATCACTGAGTTAAATGGGGCTTACTTCCAGGCCGCGTGTGTGTAGGACTGAAGCCTGAATGCAATGTACAGAGTCAAGCTTTGTTCGCATACAGACCTGACTGTACAAGGCATACATTTCATGTTAAACGAAGAAACTATTCTGCCCCATATTCATTTTGCTCTGAGAGTCCTGTGTGGCCATATTTTGATTTATAATATGTTTTGCTATGTGATGGAGGCAGCACAAGATAGCTCTTGTTCCTTTTTGTTATTATTCTTTGTGTGTTTATTGGCAAGGATGGGTAGGTGGGTGAAAAAGGTTGTATATGATGAATGGATTTTGTTTTCTGGGTGACAGAGATTATTAGTTAATACATCACTTTGTACACTAGGGGCTAGCACCTGAACAAGGATTACTGGCACCATGCGGAGGGGTTGTGGCTCAGATTCCAAACAGGAGAGAGATCCACTGAGACTATTTAAAATGTTCTTACATTACATGTGCAATCTGGGGATTTGAGATGCTAATGTGAAAGGTATGCTGCATTACACATTCTTAGATAACAGAGCTACTCTTTCTTCCATGCGATTTTGTGTTAACTTTGAACTTGATGAGAACAGGGCAAGATGAAAAATATGAGAAACAGAAGTAGAAAATAAGAAACACACACACACACACACACACACACACACACACGTGTGCCCTGCAGCCTAATGTTGCTGTGTATCTTTCCTGTTGAAATGGTTCAATTAGCCATTCCCTCTAAGCAGGGTATTGTACCTTGCTCTTCTTTCTCTTCATCCCCATAGACCTTTTCCAGCTGACCACATACCATGGCTACTTCACATGTTTTGGCCTTATTAGGTTTTTTTTATTGGGGTAGGGATGCCCCCTTAGTATTTTCAGGGGGCGGATCTGCATCTGTGGACCTCAGGATTTGCATGAACATGCTGATGCCTTGCTATTTTTTTCTTGCTTGTCCCATTTTGGCTACAATTTTGCTGGCACTCAGCATCTGTGTCCACTGTGGAAGGGTATGGTATCCTGTAGTCTCTATGAATCTGCATAAACCACTAAGGAGTCCATGCCTTCAAGCACTTGATAGATAAAAAAGAGGAATAGACCTGTGATGCCCTAATTCTCATACCAAGGATGACTGCCGACACCACTTTTTCCCATTGAACTTGATTGAGAAGTCCACACCTTCCTTCTGTATGCTATTTACTCTGTAATATAGACTGTAATATATGAATGAATTTATTATTTCGGTCACAGACCAGTTCCAGCTCACATACAAAATCAGGGAAGTCATAAAACACAATAGGGATACATTTAAATTTGCAGTTTGGTATAACAGGGACAGTACAGATATAGCAGCAATTAAAATATATAAATTAGATCTTACTCAGACTGTAATATAGTGCCTTCTGTCATTGTAAAAGCCAAGATTGTCTGTTCTTCTTTCAGATAAAGATAGGCTAGTCCAACCCAATTTCCCACAAATACACTGCATGGTATTTTAGTGTTCATGGTCATACTGTATGTTGATATTAGAATTGAAGCATCTGCTCTTCCACTCTCCAATATTTAACTTCTGGAGAGACTAGGGTGGGGAGCACCAAAGAAATGCATGTTCCATTACCACTGCAAGCAACCAATAGGAATTCTTCCTGTTGACCTCATTCCTCCCATATCCTGCATGGGACTTTAAAAAAACCCCATAGACCAGGGGTCAGTAACCTTTTTCAGCCAGTCCACTGTCCCTCAGACTGTGTGGTGGGCTGGACTATATTTTGAAGGGGAAAAATGAACAAATTCCTATGCCCCACAAATAACCCAGAGATGCATTTTAAATAAAAGGACACATTCTACTCATGTAAAAACACCCGGCAGGCCCCCACAAATAACCCAGAGATGCATTTTAAATAAAAGGACACATTCTACTCATGTAAAAACACCCGGCAGGCCCCACAAATAACCCAGGGATGCATTTTAATAAAAGGACATATCCTATTCATGTAAAAACATACTGATTCCCAGATCATCCATGGGCCGGATTGAGAAGGCGTTTGGGTGGGATCTGGCCCCCAGGCCTTAGGTTGTCTACCCATGAACTAGACATGTGACTTTTAAGGTTATGAGAGAGGTTACCAAATTCTTCTTAAAATACATTGGCCATAGACTGATGTTTTTAAGTACAACTGTTTGCTCCTGATCCCTTGCTGGTGCCTAAGAGGAATAATGACTGCTGGGAGGAACACTGAGAGAGGGAGCACCATGGTGTATCTGCTGCAGCACAACTGGACATCTTTATCTGTCTCAGCTGCAACAAAACATGTCTCTTCTCTATTTGGTCTCTGCAGCCATAGCAGGTGCTTTTGTAACCTTCCAACAGTTTGACTTCACCCCCAAAGGCACACTCCTCCATTTTCTCCCGAGACAGACGGATGCCAACAACAATTTTGTATACAATATGCTGCTTATGAGTGTCAAAGATCACTTCCTTGGCAAAGATCCCATTTCTACTTTTCAAGATCCAGCTAGAGTATATATATATAAAACCCCAAACAATTTAATATATCAGTTACTTCAAAAGGTATCGTTTATTGGAAATGACCTTTTGTTACTTGGTAACTGTGTGATTTTCAGAATATATTAGAAAATTATAATTAGCATGAGTTTAGCATAATCTTTTCTGGTCTTAGAAACATTGAGTCTCACTATGGGCATGTGAATTAACACTGGGAAATTCACCTTAGGGTCACTGCAATTGTAAGATAATGCTGAACAAAGTCAAATTAATTTAGAGCAATCTATAGAAAGACTTGCTACCATTCTGCAGAAAATATGCAGTATTCTGGAAATTGAAGGGCCTGCAGAGCAAAGATGTCAAGCTCAAAATAAACATGCGCCTTTCCAAAACTGCAGTAGAAATAATAAATTGGAAATGCAAATCTACTTTAACTCAGCGTGAATCTTCCAAACCAACTTCATTTTGCAAAGTTCCTATTTTCCATTTTGACTAGTTTGCATTTTATCACAGTAACATTTTTACCAAACTTAGGGATACAGGAAGTTTTCCTAGGCTAGGGATGGCTAGTGGGAAATAATTTTCTCTTCCTGGTCATAGACCTACATCACATCAACAGAAGCATTGTAAATATTATCAATATGAATTACTGGACTAATTTTCTTTTTAGTCAACTATCAGGTTTGGCTGTTGCTCAGAGAGAAGTTCAGTCGTGAGATAAGATCATTGCTCCTCTTATGCATTAGTAACTGTTGACAGATCAGGAAGTGGAAAATAGAAACAAGTGGAAATTATTGCAATGGAGGGAAGTAATAAGTGGGGTCCCCTAAGGATTTATATTAGGTCCAGTGATACTTAACTTTTTCGTAAATGATATACAGGAGGAGTGAAAAGTAGGATAGCCATATTTGCAAATGACTCTAATAAAAGCCTATGCAGACAGGTTTTAATAATTCCTTTAAAAAAGGAGAAAAGTACAGTCGTACCTTGTAAGTTGAACAGCCTAATTCTTGAACGTTTTGGCTCCCAAACGATCAAAACCCGGAAGTAACTGTTCCGGTTTTTGAATGTTCTTTTGGAAGCTGAACGTCTGACAGGGCTTGCGTGGCTTCCGATTCAGAAGCCAATCAGAAGCCATGCTCTGGTTTTCAAATGTTTTGCAAGTCGAACGGACTTCTGGAACGGATTCTGTTTGACTTCCAAGGTATGACTGTATTTGTTTTAAAATTAAATACTCATAACAAAAAATTGTTTTCATATAAATCCTTCATATCTTTACATTACTGTAAAGATGCTGTAAAGATACTGTATTAAGTTAATCTTATCAAATAATAAAATGGTAACTTTTATCAAACAATAAAATAAACCTTGTTCAATCTCTAGCTTCTCCAGTAATACCACCAACATGAAAGACAGTTACCTGAGAATTCAAAGAGCTGGCAGGCTAGATGGACCCAATGATCTGGATCAGTAAAGGGAATCATGACTAACTTATCTCACTGATTCAAGTGGGGCCAACATGTGACTAAGTTAACCTGGATCCAAACCATGTATGTTTATAAAACCAAAGTCAGATTTTGCAACTGCAATCTTATCTTGGAAAATGGGGTGGAGACCTCAGAGCTATTGGGTTTAGTCAACATATATTTTTTTTTCTGGCAAACAAAATACAACTTGAGAGTAACACTTGGGAACCATCATGTAGACAATGTACCAAGAACACAAGAAGATCCTGCTGGATCAGGCTAATGACCCATCTAGTCCAGAATTTGTTCTCAGAGTGGCCAACCTGGAAGAACACAAGCTGTTTGCCAAATTACAAATGAGAGTTTTTCAGTGTCAGTGAAGAATTCTTCTTAATTAAGACCTGCATAAGGCTGAAACACTTCAAGACTTTTACCAACAGAAGTTCACATAAATGCATCAATGTCTTTGCTGTAGAGGCAACTCAATGAGTGCTTACAAAGGCAGAGATTATTTCAGTTTTCTAAATACAGTGGTACCTCAGGTTAAGAACTTAATTTGTTCTGGAGGTCTGTTCTTAACCTGAAACTGTTCTTAACCTGAGGTACCACTTTAGCTAATGGGGCCTCCTCTTGCTGCCGTGCCGCCAGAGCACGATTTCTGTTCTCATCCTGAAGCAAAGTTCTTAACCCGAGGTACTATTTCTGGGTTAGCGGAGTCTATAACCTGAAGCGTTTGTAACCTGAAACGTCTGTAACCCAAGGTACCACTGTACATCAGTTATACATCAGTATAGGTGATCAGCAAACCAGCACTGATGTGTTTTGCTCATTGAGAGCCAATCAACAATAACACTGTACAATTAAAAGGATTCAGGAAAAAACCAATTCCATTGGTAAATATGTTGCATGTCCGTAACTTTTGTTTTACCACTGCAAAGTAAGATTGTGACAGATCTGAAAACTCATGAGGAAACTGATAAACACGGATCATAATAAATCTCCTTGTAGAACTTGTTCCAAATTTGGAAAATATTATTTACATTTTGCAGTCAAATTCACACCTGTGAATTCATAAGAACTGAATATTTAAATCACTTTAATCACTTGTTTTCATCATCACTAGTATTTTCATGTAGATAATTGCATTGCAAAATAAGACCACTTCTTCAGTGATCAAAAGCACATTATCCCACATTCCCTAGCAGAGGAGCCTCTTTTAGATACAAATATTTTAGTTTGGGTAAAACAACCTGAACATAACAAAGGATCCATCTTGGAACTTGAAAGTTACAGACTGATGAAAACAAGTTCATTGTACCCAGATTGATGGGCACACATTGTTGGTAAAGATATGCTTACTGGAAGGGAACACCAAAACATTGTGACAGCTGTAAAGGTTCTGTGCTTTGAAATCTTTCAGAAAGATAGTATTTCTCTTGAGTGATGCCTTCAGTTCCTCTGCTGGTGACCTCTCGGGAAGCTTGCAACTTCTGAGCTGTAATGGTGCCCATCAAAATTGACATACACTTTATTCTCTGAGTCAGATGACTCTCCTGTGGATAGATCTGTGTGTGTGTGTTGGGTTGTGGGGAGAGTTAGCCTTCATCACATGTTTGGGCACAGACCACAGGCATCATAGTATGTTATTAATGCAATGCAAGAGTTACAATATAGTGAAAATTATAAATATAACCACACTACATATCTAAAAGTTTCAGAAGATTTGAAGCATGCACACAGCTAACTATCAGCAATTGCCCTTACCTTTTTTCAATGTCTTTGCTATTAAACAGAATGACAGGGATCCTTCAAAGGATGAAAAAGATCACAAATGATTTGAAAATGCATCGTACAACATAGCCATATCTGTCACTTTTAGCAACGAGGAACCCTCAACCCCAGGAATTGTATTGTCATTCATTTTCATATGCTAGCATACTGAATTATATGCCAACAGAAAATTGCTTATTACGTAATACTTAGATTGAAGAATCAATTCTGGCTAAGTCACAACACATCTCAGCCAGGTTTCATGAAAACTATCCTGGTGGCAATCTTTTCTTCCTAATTACAAAACATATTTTTTATTTATTTTAAAATCAACTAACAAATTGCTTTGGCATTGGTGAAGCCTATTAAATTGTGCGATTTTGCACAGTCAATAAATACAGTATAAGCAAATTCTCAGTCTTGGTTATTTTTTTTTAATGATTATTTCACTTTAGTGATGGGAAAGTATATAACAGATTTTAAAATGATGACCTTCTGGCCTTTGCACTTTTTGCTTCCATGTTAACCCAACTCATGAAGAGTTAGACACACCTTCACCTGATTCCCGTTTATACCCACCTTTCCTTACTCTGCTACTAACTGTACCAAGCTAGGCCAGAGATTCACTTAACCTTTATGATTTGCCATTAACATGCATATATTTTTCACTCAGTGAGAGTGCCTAAGCAGCACTTGGAAACATGCTTCCACGTATGTGAAACAGGCACAGTTTACGTGCAACTTCTGCCCCAATCAACCCAGCAAGCTGGGGTGGGGAATAAGGAAGTGCATTAGTTGTGACAGGGAATCTGAGGCTTGAACCAGGTCCGTCTAGGTCCACACTACCTGTGTTTGTAGTTTTCAGTTGCTTGAGCCCTCACTTCAGGTCCAGAAGGAATCAGACATTTCTAACACTAGCCTCTGGGATTACTGGGCAGCCTGGCATTCTGTTCTTATATGGTTAACAGTGTTTCCTGCCAGTTACGCTCAAGCTTCCAACTGCCACACGGAAGTCACTCAAACACCACCTCACTTCAAATTAATGCTGAGACTCTAGACTAGGGAAATCCTATTCCAGCTCTGATTCCAGATATTGTCATGAGTCCCAGGTCTCAACAGGAAGGAAAACAAGCATGTCAGCCTTAGCAGCAACAAAGCAGTGGAGGTTTCCACTCCTGCAATGGGGAGCCTTGTGAAGAGAACCCCCTACTCTGATTTCAGGCCTCCCTCTCCACCAGCCACTGCCTGGCTTCTGGCAGATAGGAATATAAATATTTATCTTCATTGAATTATACAATTTACAGTGGTACCTCGGGTTAAGTACTTAATTCGTTCCAGAGGTCCGTTCTTAACCTGAAACTGTTCTTAACCTGAAGCACCGCTTTAGCTAATGGGGCCTCCTGCTGCTGCCGTGCCACCGGAGCCCGATTTCTGTTCTTATCCTGAAGCAAAGTTCTTAACCTGAAGCACTATTTCTGGCTTAGTGGAGTGTGTAACCTGAAGCGTATGTAACCTGAAGCGTATGTAACCCGAGGTACCACTGTATATCCCTCACAGCCAACATAAAAAATACATTCCTGTCAGGAACATAAGGAAAGAGGGAGAGGATCCAGTTATCTTTAGTTATCTACATTTAAGATTTTAAGTCTCTTTACTTGATGTTTTGTGTGGGTGATGTATTAAAGTGGGGTGTGTATGTGTGTGTGTGTGTGTGTGTGTGTACACACACAGGTGTATTTGTGAAGGATATTAGAATGTCAGAGCTTAATATAGAGTTAATGGAGAAAATTCGACTCAAAAAGGAGATGAGGTCAAATGCATTCTTTCCCCTGCCATTCCCCAAACAGATTGAGAGCTGCTGTGAACCTTCTTTGTATGTTTTGAATAAGTGCGTTCCACTTTAATGAGATTATTCTGATGCCTCCATTAGGTTTTGTCAGCAATTTTCTGCTGCTTTTTACAACAAAGGCTGATTTGGGTTTTTCAACAGAATTCGCCTTCTATAGCTTTAATAGTGACATCTTCAGCACGTTCAGAATGCAGAGTTAAATTACCAGCAATTGTTTTCTACATATGTTCAGTAATATTAATACTGATACTTACTCTGAAGTTTTGGTTGCCTTTTCCTTTTTGACTGATATCCAGACTTAGTTGTGGTGAACTTGTCCCTGTGATTTAAAGTGTGACTAGCTTAGTCTGGATCAGAGCTCTTATCTCTTGCAGTTCAGTTCATTTCCTGAGATGGATGCTGTTTACTTTCCCCCAAATTCATTTATTCTGCTTGGAAAAGAAAGTTTGGAAAAGACAATAAATAGTTCAATCCTGTACCTGTCTACCCAGAAGTAAGTCTCATTAAGTTCAATGGGCCTAACGTCGTCTTCTTCTTCTTCTTCTTCTTCTTCTTCTTCTTCTTCTTCTTCTTCTTCTTCTTTTTATTAAATTTGTATACTGCCCTTCATCCATAGATCTCATGGCGGCTCACAATAGCTGTTCCTAAGAACAACATCTCTTCCTAAGAAGAAATGCCAGATAATTCCAATGGAAATGGGAGCAAAAAATGCCAGTGTTCACTTATTCATCTCATATCCTAAGAAGAAATGCCAGATAATTCCAATGGAAATGGGAGCAAAAAATGCCAGTGTTCACTTATTCATCTCATACCCAGAAATCAATCCAGCAAATATAATTGGTATTCATGATTGTTGATGTTTCAGTCAATAAATAATATGTAATTGATAATGCTTCTTCCTCATTTGTATTGCATTTCCTTTGCAATGAAAGGAATGGAGTGGAAGAATGTAATGGCAACATGATAATGTAATTAATTATGCACATTGTAACTTTGCCACAGCAGACAAGATGAATAATGCCATTTTTTAAAAAAAAATATTGCAGAAGATGAGCTGCACTGAAATGGAAACAATACTGCATGTGACAACTACAGGGCGGAAAGGAAAACATTGCCTTCGTATAGCCATACTCACAAGTAAGTAGCAGTGCCGGATTTACGTATAAGCTAAACAACCTGTCGAGTCAGATTCGGGGAGTGGCTTCTTTCAACAAAGCAGGCATGGAAACCTCGCGAGACGTCTTTGATCTTTATGTTTCATTTCCCTCCTTGCCTGTCCTGATGTGAATGCCCCCCCCCCCATCTTTCTGAGTCTGAACTTCCTTCTCCTGGCTATGGTGGGTTATAAGACTCTTCACCATCTGTGACCCCCTGCTCCGCCTGACTACTTTCCTCCCCCTGTTCTGCTTCATGCGTCATTTCCCTGTCTTTCTCTTCTGACAGTTCCTGCTCCGAACCCTCCCCTGCTACTGACGAAGCAGCATGTTCTGGCTCTTCCCTGACACTCATCAAACCTAAATCCGGCCCTGGTAAGTAGGTATGGGAGTGTAGCACAACAGCACTATTAAGATTTCTAGAATTGTTTGCATACTCAATAAAACTCAGTTCAGTCAAGACCATTCCCTGCTATTCTGAAAAGCGAACAAAGCACATCTTAATGCAGTATTTCAGCTGCCACCCCCTCCAAGAGAAAAGTGGTTATTGTAATTCCAGATTAGTGGAAATGTGCATGGCTTATTCATCCTGTGCATAAAACTGATAACCCATGCAGTTGGGACTGTTTATTTATTTCTTATTCATTTGTTTCAGTCTTTGTGAGTCATCTGAGTGTTTCCCATTTGTAATGTGATTCTGGAAAATTATTTTGCATATGTAATAGTAAACACTTGGCACCACATCTTCGCAGAGAATGAAAATGATCTAAACAATTCCCATCGGCCTAATGAGCAGAAACGGTGACTGGAACTGTGGCTAAAATTTTGGCAGCAGAAAACCGACTTGGATCATCTGTACTTTTGACTAGCAAGCATCTTGGGAATCAATTGACATAGCTTTGATTGCAGCTTAGAAAGGCGTAAGGAGGGAATCTGGTGTCCAAAAGGCAACTCCCTGATACTGTCACAACCAACAGCCTAAACAATATTTTAGGTTTTTAATAAATAGATTTAGAATGAAAATATTTTATATACTTCATCTGGGGAAGATGAAAGTATTCTGTTAGTTCATTTAGGATTATTTTCAACCCAATATACAATTTTTTTTTTTGGTATAATCAGAAAATTTCAAGCGGTCAGGATAAAGAGGTGCATATTAGATAAAGGTAAAAGTAAAGGACCCCTGGGTGGTTAAATCTAGTCAAAGACAGCTATCGGGTTGCAGCACTCATCTTGTTTTCAAGCCAAGGGAGCCAGCGTTTGTCCACAGACAGCTTCCCGGGTCATGTGGCCAGCATGACTAAACCACTTATGGTGCAACAGAACACCATGATGGAAACCAGAACGCACAGAAACTCTGTTTACTTTCCCGCCACAATGGTACCTATTTATCTACTTGCACCGGTGTGCTTTCGAACTGCTAGGTTGGCAGGAACTGGGACAGAGCAATGGGAGTTCCCCCCGTCACAGGGATTTGAACCACTGACCTTCTGATCGACAAGCCCAAGAGGCTCAGTGGTTTGTACCTCAGTGCCACCCACATCCATATTAGGACATCTGGGAAAGGTAGGCTGGTGCACGTAATCCACTTTTCGATGGGGCAAATGAAGCAGCACCAGCAGTTACAGAAAGGATGGTGTTCCCAACAACCAATAAGAGTCACAGCAGAAGGTACTAAAATGGAGGCAATCAGGAATATCTATTGCATCGGAGAGGAGAAGGTTACTGCACGGTAAAGCAGAAAGTATTTAATAGGTGATACATGGTGTCTATAGAAATCCATACTGATTCTGTATATCCTAATGCCAGCCAGTGTTCTCTAGGCGTTCTTATCTGCTATAGGGGCATGATCTTACCTAGTATTATTTTCTGAGCTGGCTAATTGTGATGTTTTTGATACATTAAGAGGTCAATCCTACACTGAAAATCAGTCAGATGAGCAGCCAGGTCTACCTTAACACCACAACAGATATACCACTGGGATATCCCATATAATATAACTTTATGTGCAAGTGTGTTTGTGTCACTCACCCCTGCATGACAAACTGTGCCTGTAAATAATAAAAAATAAAAAATAAAGCTCACTATTTGTATAGCGGCAGGAAGATATAGAAATCCCAATGCAACTATTGCAATAACCATCATACACAGGTCTTCGTGAATAGAATAATTGCTATTATCTGCTAATATAAATACATAAATACATATCAGCTTTGCACTTGAGCGTTTCCACATATGGTAATGCAACCTGACACTCCTTGTGTCAGGATAACAGACAGAAATTAACCGTCGCACAAGAAACATAGGTATATGAATAGTTACAGTGCAAAGCTACAGCAAATGAAAAGAGAAATCATTAAGAAGCTGCAAACGCTGTTTCCATTTCTGTATCTGCACATGGTAGTCATCCTTGCTCAATGAGCTCATTAGAAAAACAAAACAGCTTTGTTTGATAATGCACCATGGTGTATGTGATACTCCATAGGGACCACGGCAAGGGTCTTGTAACCTCCGGCACAGCGCATGAAATCTATGTGCTTCCCATGGAAAAAGAACGTCACGTAGCACTATACAATACAACAAATATGGAGCTAACACCCTCTGGGTTTCTAGTCAGTGATCTCACAGCTAGTAAAAATGGCGATTCTAGTTAATGTAAATACAAGATAACAAAAAATACAGGCCTTCTCCGATTTCTTTGCTTGGGAAAGCTGTATTTTTCAGTATGGTGTTATAAAAGTGTCAGAGCTGGGAGCTCTCGCTTTCTTATATAATAGAATTGTATTGTGTTGGTTTGTGTGTGTGTAAGCATATGCACACACAGGCAATACTTGTCAAAAATTGCTTTTTGGAGAGTGAGTTTTAGAAATGCCATTCCTAATGTGATTTCTCCTCATAAAAGGAAAACATATTTTGATGGCTTTATTATTTATGTAGTAATGACCTGTGCTTTTTAATTAGGATTGAAACAATAATATTTATGTTCAGCTGAACTACTGCTTTTTAAAAATATATTTCCGAACACATGCTGAAAAGTTTGACGTCTCTTTCAGCACCCTAAAATGAAATGCAACAGGGAGGACTATGGTTATAGTTTCTTTTCTCTTCTCAGCATTCAACAACTACCTTTACTGTACTGACCAACAAGTTCAGTGTCAAATATGCAGTGATTAGAAGCAGCAGGTACAGTTTCTGCTGTAGTGGCAGCAGCAATGCTGGTATAAATGTAATATAAAAGATGAATACAAACCCAAGTCATCTCTGGGCAGTGAAGAGTCAGGCTGGATGAATTGGTCTGTCTCTGCCCTAGTGACTTTTGCATTGCTCATAAGTAAAACAAAACAAACAAACTCCTTGTGAAAATTTTAGCACTAATTTCACCAAATACCCAAATTTGTGTATGCAATTTCTCCTTATATACACATTTGGCAAAGCATTTCTGCTTAATATAATGCATTTTTGTATGTTATTTTCACTAAAATGCCTGTTTTATACATATTAGTTGGTGGAAAATCAGCATTGCAAAATTCAGAAAAGTGCAAATTTAGAAGAATGACTGTCCTTTGGTTTGCATATTGTTTTGTAAACTGCAAATTAGGTAGGTTCACTTTTAAATATGAGCTGAATTGAATCCCCCCCCATCCTTACATTTCAGAGACAAAAGGGAAGAGTCAGACATCGGGCTGCTGCTCTTGGCATCAGCCATGCTTCGCCTAGCATGTAGTTACACTCTTATTCTGAGTCAGACCAATTGTCCATCTAGCTTAGCCCACCCAGAAGCAGATTACTAGAGTTTTGATGTTATAATTCCATGCAGCCAGCCAAATGCAGAATTGCTCCTGGGCCTGGCTGGCAGTTCGTGATCACAATTTTCGAAGGTGATGCTGAGAATGCTGTTGCTTCGTGTATAGGAGCAATTTCCCTTGTGCCCTCCCCTCTCCCTTTGGCTATCATGATGTGAACCTAGAAGTAAGCATACGTTTGATGGGTTTCTTGGGACGATGGTGTCTGTAGGCCCTTTCAGCCAAGCATTTCTCCATTATCCGAAACCCTTTAACTGCTGGGAATGCCTTTGGGATTTTATGCATGCAAAAATATGTGCCTTTCTTCTGGGACATGGATAGTAGGCATGCTGCGTTAATAGCAGAATGTAAAATATGGGTTTAAGTAAAGCCCACTCCTCCTTTTGGCATTAGCTCTGGTCATTGAACCCTTTCCCAGATGCAGGGATGGGCTATGCTTTGTAATTGTTTGGGGAGGAGAAATATTATGAAATTTCTTTTGTATAATTGAGGTCGCTATTTATTGTTCCAAAAATGTGCAAATCATTTTGCTGATTTCATTTTTTTCTGGGCAGACTACTCTGAGAATTATTAACGTCCATTTCTGGAACTGCTATGAAATAACCAAGGCTAACGTGACCACAGTGCTGGAGGAAAAGGCCATAATATCACTATTTATTTCTTTAGGATAGGCATGATATGCTTTAGCTTCCCCTTTGCCTTATGTTTTTATTCCCACCCTCTAAGTTCAGTAGAAGTTAAACATTCTGTTCCTCCTTTGAACTTTCAGGGAATTTCTACCCTCTTGTCTAAGCTGCCTTTTATAAATCGAAATTTGTTTATTGAATGTTTAGAATAATATAACAAAATAACAGAGAGAGAGACACATCAGAGGGAACCACAAACACAGAATAATTAGGAGATCAATAAACTATTCAGGAATACATAAATGACTTTACAATGACCTTCTCCAATAAAAGAGATGAAGAGTGTATAGGCCATGCAAATCTTAAATGCTAGTTACAGTGCCAAGTGAATTCAAGTAGGCTGGCAATGTTGACTTAGCTGTTCTAATTGTGCAGAGCTTGGCAGATCACAGAATAAAAGAACAGTATGGAGAACAAAAGGCACAAGCACAACAAAGAAATATGCCTAAAAGAAATAGACTTGAAAGAAACAGTTGGGAGAGAAACAATAAATAGAATCAGGAAGTTAAGTCTGCATAGAAAATAAAATACGTAGCACTATGATAAGTTTTCCACCAAAGCTTAAAGTCAAGTTTATCACACTGCTGCTACTTAAAAACACTTCCCCCACAGGAGCTGAACTTACAGTTTCCTTTTGTATGCCATCCCATCAGGAACTGCTGTGAATCATAGCTAGGGCCTTTGAATGTCAATCTGACAGACTTCACTTCTATATGCACTTGATGGCAGATCAGGGCAACATAAAAGTGGTCTGCTTTCAAGAATTGCTCCCTCCTAGTTTTTCAGCCAAGGTACCAAGCATGATATGGAAACATGCACAACAGGAGTGGTTGCTGTGGTTGGGCAGAAGTACTTACCTGACTTCCCAGCAGTGGAGTCACTGCTGCAAAACAGTGGGAAGGTGGTGCAGTGCTAATATACCAGCAGGAGTGCTGGATTGACTCAGCCAGTGTATTTGCACCACACTGATTGTACCACTGTCTATCTCCCCCTCCCCTTCGGATATGCAGCAGCAACTCACATGCTGGGAGGTCAGGTAAGGGCCTCTGTCCCACCACACCACCTGCTTCTGATGTATAAGGATCAGGAGCTGTCACCTGACCTTTTCTGGGTTAGTGGCGGATGTGGATACCTTGGATAGAGTGGTCCACTCAAGTCAACAGTTCAATTTCTGCTGCAGTCCTGACATCATTGCACCAAGGAGCTCCATGAAAGCAGGAGTTTCCCTTGTTCTGTAATGGCAAGGAATATGCCACAAAGAACATCTTACCAGTTACGTCCCCTTGACACCAATGTGTTCATTATTACGTCTGCAGCGTACTAATGAACATTTATGCATACATTGGGGAAATTGTTGCTTCCAACATACATTCTTTCTGAACAAAACAACTGGAGGTGAGGTGATCAGGAAGATGCTGTACAGTGTGTCCAGGCCTATGTTTCTATCTGCACAGCCCAATAATATGAGGGAGTCACTACATTTCTTTTCATTCTGGATGACATTTTATGTTAAAGAGCATGACAGCTTAATTTCAGTTAAGCACTGCTAACAATAGGAATTCACACAGAAAGCCAGCAGTCATGCAGTCATTGATCGTGTATGTAAATGATGTAGCCCATTGTGCTTGGTCATTGTGAAGATTCTCATTATAAAACCTTCCTTCCTGTCACCTACGTGTGTGACAGACATTAGCAAATATGCTGTATGCAGCCACGTGAAAGCTGGCACCATCAAAACATTTTCATCCGGGAAAGGATCCCGTAAGTTGTGGGTTGTTGTTTGTTGCTGCTGTGAGGCACTGAGAATTCTAGCGAATGCCCATTAGGGAATAATCTGTTCTGAACCTCAAAACATACTCCACTCAAATTCTTTTTGACCATTTGTGTCTCTCCCCCACTCTCTTTCAATCCAGGGAACAGAAGACATGACTTCTTCCTGATATTTATGCAGAGTCAGGAAGCCCAACCCATCACAGACATCTACCCAGTGCTATTTTTCTAGAAAAAGAGGTGTGGGAACTCACTCTTGTTCTCTTATAATGGCAATGGCGCCCACCTGAGAGGTGCCGGAACTGAGTTCTGGTGAGTTCTGGCTGAAAAAACCCCTGCATCTACCTCATCTTTTCATTACCTAACAGTTTTAGCCGGCTTTAAATAGTGCAACTTGGTTCTTAAAGGACCCCTGCTGATATTTCCTCCAACCCACAGCAAATCTCCTATTTCCTCTCAGTTCCTGGAATACTACCAGGTGATATTTGCCCAGAATTGCCTCCAGTTTTGCTAGTTTCAGCCACAGGAAAGGGTGCTTCCTGTTCTGGCTCCATGTAGCATCTAGACTGCCAGTGTTCTCTTGCAGCGTTCCTGCAGCCTTGCTTCCTCTGCCTACATTCTTATATGATCATAGAGAGGCTGGGGAAAATTCAGACGGCCAATTGCTGCCACACCCAGCTTCTGCCACATTCACATCCCATTGGTTGATGGAGCAGACATAGTCCCAGCTATGCCAGACATAGTCCCAGCTATGCCAGACATAGTCCCAGCTATGCCAGACTTCCCACATACCCTTCTGCTATAGCTCATACTTGGAGTGTGATTCTGTGGAAGGTTAGGGTGGGGTGGGTTTTTAAGTAAATTTAAAAACAGTGTAATAACAAAATGTAGTCCCGTACATTCTCAAATTTATTGAAAGTGGCCTTACACCGAGTTGAACCATTAGTCTATCTATCTGAGTGCTGTCCACTCTATACTAGGCGACAGTTCTTCTCCAGAGTTTTGGAGAAGAGATTTTCTCAGCCCTGCTTGGAGATGCCAGAGGTTAAACCTGGAACCTTTTCTACCACTGCACTATAGCTCTTCCCCATAAAGGACTGCTGCTGCCCAGGACTGACCTGCTGGGAGCCTGAAGGGCCCTGCGCTGCCTCTCTCCACCTGGCTTGGGGCGGGGTCTGGAGGACTCCATAAAGGGCTGCTGCTGCTGCTGCTGCTGCTGCTCAACAGAGATGGATGCTTTTAAATGTTTTTATTTTTTATCTATATCATTTTAAATTGTTATTGATATCAATGTTGTATTTTTTAGTTTTAGATTTTATGATTTATGTGGAAATTGTTTTCCATTTGGTTGTGTACCTTTGGATGTGCTTTATTTATTTATTGTTGATGACCTTTGTTATGTTGGTAATTATGTAAATCTTGTTATGCTGTAAGCTGCCTTGAGCATTGTTTTAACTATGGAAAGGCGGCATACAAATAAAAAATGTTGATGATGATGGTGATGATGATGATGTTTTGACTGTTAGACAAAATAGCCTCTCACCTCAGTTTTTGCCTTAACTTCAGAATGACCACTGATAAATGCACCAAGGAGAAGTTTGCTGCCCTCATATATAGTTGATTTTGAACTCATTAAAAATTGAATACAGAAATATGTCTCTGAATCAAGATGTCCAAATACAGAGAAGCCATGAGAGCCTGCTGTTCTGTAAACTGCACAGGGAATGGGTTTTGATTTGTATCCAGCTAGAAATAATATATTGTTTAAAAGCAGTGCAAGCGACAACAAACCTCACCAACCTGACACCCCATTTTTAGCTGGTTTGTTGAACATCTCTCAACAACGATCCTCACCATGCTCTTCCTTTCCTTTCCCTCCAAATAAAATAAACATTTTTGTGTGTATCTATTTTGACCAAGGGCGAAAGGCAATTTTGGAAAGCACTTTTCATTAAAATTGTTAAGTTCAATAAAATCATTTGCTTTGGGGTCATTTTAGGAAGAAAAACAAATAAATTTTGCAACTGTTTTGCCTACCTTGAAATGGGCAGTTTTATCTGTAATTTGAGAGGGGGTGAAACAAAATTTTGTGTGTGTGCTGTGGGGAGGAGAGATCAGAATGAGTGCCATTTTATTTTTCTTATTTGTGATGTATATAGGATTAGAATAGTGTCCATATTTCCAGTGCCCTGAGTTTGATTGACAGATCCCTGCAAGTTCAGAAATGCTTTACGTGGATTTTACATGGATATACGCTTCAATTGGGCATAGTCCCATGTAAGTGCTATAGGCTGTAGCCCAATATGTGAACTTCAGCTGAAGTTCACATATTGGAACAACAACATGGAAGTTGTTGTTCACATATTGGAGCAACAGCATATGGAAACAACAACAACAACAACAACAATAATGGAATATATTTTTGGAGGGGGCGTTGAAAACGTAACATTTTCTAATGAAAAGTAATGTTTAATAGAGACTTTATTCAAGATACTATTCTTTGAGGTCAAGCAGTTTCCAGACTTTACGGTCCTTTATGCTTCCTGTTCAGCCTTGCAACAGTATTATTAGCATTTTATCAGTCAGAAGCTGAACCGTCTTCAGATGAGAATCAGGTTAGTTCCTGTAAATTAATGATAAGATCTTTGTCATCTTGAGGCTAACAATATCATTGCTAGTAAGATATGTGATATTTGTATTAGCAGTCGATTGATGCTGGTAACACATTTTCCTTTAAGCGAAAACAGGTAAGTTTAGTGGCATATGGGATAGAATTGTTGTTTTGCTGGGGGAGACAGAAGTAACTCATAGTTGTTACAATTACAAAGCAATTTCCAATTTAGGTGAGGACACGTTTGTCTCCACCAGCTTTTTTTGTAAAGATGACTTGGGAATCTGATTCCCCAAATGGAGGCATGGAGTGGAGGAATTACATGGGTGGCTGGGAGGAGGACTGGAAGCTAGCTATTTTAAGACAGCTCTGCCTCCATCTTGGACTTCTCTCTTTCCATGCCCTCCTCCCTTAAAACAATGTGGACTGTGTTCATCACCTTTTTAAGGGACTGAGTAGGAATTTTTGGAGGGAATCTTCAGTAGGCCCTTAAGACTCTTCATCTTGCCTGGTTCACACTTCTGGGGGCTATAATTGGGAATGGTGCTTCACTAATGTGGTTACATATTTGGCATTCAGTGTGGGTAAGAGGAGAAATTCTAAAAACATGATGAATGGTTATTGAGCTAAGGACTTTCCTTAGTTTCTTTCTATTGCCTTTGGCTTGTTTGGTGCACTTTAGGCCTGAAGTGCACATTTTGATGGACAGTGGACATGATCAGGGTACACGTGTTAGGTTCACATACTCAAGGCTCGCTTAGCAAAAATGGAGTGATTTGTTCCCAAACCTTGACTGGGAAGTCACAGACTGAAGCTGTAAACATGACAAGAAGATTGGAGGGATGTGTTCCTACCAGATTTAGCCACAACATCCCCCCCTGTACTTTCTGAATTTGTCTAATCGGGTTACAGTTTTTCTATATGTTATATGACCATTTCTACAAGCTTTTTGCCTCTTGAGTCTTCTTTATGGGTGTGTAGTCAGTTGCCTTAGTTGCACTAAACCTGGCAGGACTTATAAACCCTTATAATAAGGAGGCTATCTACAATCTTTGAATCTGAAAGAATGATCTTTGGCTTCATAGCCACTGAGGAAAGCTTCTTACATTTTTGATATTCATTTTATATGTGATGTGCAAATCAGACCGTGACTGCAATATCATAGTTTGGAAAAGGTCATTCTTGCCCTGAGCCCTTATTAGAGATGGGGATAAACACAAATGAATAAATAAAACAGGTGAAAGGAGGGAATTAAAAACCTTGTACCAGTTCTTCAGCCTTTTATTTTGATTTGAAGTGAGCTGCTGTTGCTGTTTATAATAAGCTCTCAACATATGTTGAAGCTGTATGGGTCTGATGTTTGACATAATATGATTAGGGTAATCATGAGCCGGATAAATTCACATACACCCCTCTACTATTGGCCAGAGACATTACAGCTCCTCTGCTATGAAATATGCCTATTGCTGCTCCTGTGAGACAATGGGAAGAATCTCCCCTCCCAGGGGCCATCCCAAGACATTTTGGCACCTGAGGCAAACAAAAAATGAAAACCTTTTCATTGCCAGAGAAGAAAGGGTGAGTGAAGATCTGTATCAGGAACAAGAGGAGAAGAAAGATATACAGTGGGATGTGCTGCCCCTGTAGATTCTGCTGCCTGAGGTGGTTGCCTCACCTTGCCTCAGATTTGGGCTGGCCCTGTCCCTCCCTGTCATTTACATTATCAGCAGGGAAGCCCAATGTTTGGTTCGAAGGATGTGAATTAAATAACATTTATGGTAGGGGGATTCCAATAGATGAAGGGAGATGAAGACTCCCAAAATTTGTCACCGGAAAAATTGTAGGATAAGGTGTGCAAAGAATCCAAGGCAACAATCCTAAAGATTCAGAAGCCAGGAGAAAAATGCTGGATGATCCTCAGCAGCTTCTACTCATGCCTATATTTTCAGACTCGCACTCATTCTTACAATGCTCCTGCCATTGCAAAGAGTTCAGACAAACTGGTGTGCTGGCTAGCACTGTGATTCAAGACGTTCTTGCCTTGGATTTCAGCTGAGATCAATTTAGTGTGTGACAGTCAGCCTCTATCTGCAATATGAACACTGGCCTGCCTTAGAGCTTTGGCTTCAAACAGTTATAAAAAAAGCTGACCGTAAATGCCAAATCAAAGGTACCCATTTCAAAGATACACTAACTTAAATAGAACACAGCTAAGAATATGCTAAGAAAGAAATATAAGGAACTTATGGTGCAATCGTGTGCATGTGTACTTGAAAGTAAGCTCCGTTTGGTTTGAAAGGCCTTACTACCATGTAAGTGTGAATAGGACTGCAGCCTCACCATCTTTTAGCATTAGCTAGAGCATAGGCTTTGTTGTTGTTTTTATTATTATTAGCAAACTCTGAAAACCTCACTGATTTATTTAGCAACCGCATCATACCTTTAGGCTATATTTTATATGCCTCCTGCCCCTCCATAGTAATGTTTCCTCATTTCAGAAAAGAAAAGAAAAGAAAATATCTCAGCCTTCTGCTGCAATTACTGAATGGTATTATACACTTCCTCCTTGTAAAAATAAAAAAAGAAGCAGAAGCAAATATTCTTGCTACTGAGAGGAAGGGTGGTTGCGAATATATTGTGCCTTTCAGAGCCACATTTCATCTTTTCTTCATTCCTCCCTTTCATCTTTCTGCCAGCTGATGGGCAAATTCCTGTAGAAGAATATTTATGCTTGTAATTCTCCAAAGCCTACTTGCTGATTTTTTGCAATCTTGAAAGTGCTGTTCATACATTCTCTACCTTCACAGTGAATGCAGACTACAGCATATCCAGAGAGTTCCACTCCCTTCTTCATAGTATCACAGGCACTAAATAACTCACCCCACAGTCTATTTATGGAAAGAAGAAAGCCCTAGCAGCAGGATGTCAGTGTCAGTTTTTCATGGGGTTCTCAGAATGTCATTTCCTTGGCACGAATGTTAGTGTAATTAAGTATTCTCCATGCAGCTAAATTGATTCTCCAGCCTGAAGTTTATAAACTTAAGCATTTCTTTGTGAATGCATCGCTCATCTGCAAAACACTGGGCCTACCTTCCGCAGCACACTAAATTTTCATAGAAACTTGCAGGAGCTGCCAGGTTATGAAAACAGAGGCTACTGATATACAGTCAAAGAATACATGAGTTGTTCTGTTATTTCTATTCTAATTACACTTGTCGACAAATACATGATTCATGTCAAGAAGGACTGTGAGAGTAGTAGGAATAACTCAAATCCTGGTAAAGGGATGGAGCCAATGCAACTCATTGCAGTTTATAGTATGACAGGCTATACTGTTTTCGCCAAGATCCCAGACTTTGTCATATGGAATAGTTGCACCACCCTGTGGCTCCATTTCTAGTAAGATCTAGCTATAGGAAATTGTGTGAGTCCTTTCTAATGAGTTTATTCATTCATAATAGTGAGAGACAAAAGAATGCAGTCTTCCTACCAATAATGGCATTGTTCCCACTGAGCTCCTCCTCCCTCCCTTCCTAGCAACAGCATCAGCATTTCTCTTTATAGTGTCCGCCCATAGCCAACTGTCTTTGGGTCCTTTGCTCTTGCACTCTTAGTGAACACAGAGTTCTAGGAGAAGGGAGGTCAGAAAAGCTCTGCAGTGATAATGTGTCAGCTGGCTGCTCTGTCTCCCCCTTCTCATCCCCCAACACCTCCCA